CATCTACGAGCAGCCCCTGGCATCTTACATGCCGCAGCTCAGGGCAATGCGGGACCTGCATGTAATGAGCAGTTGCAGACGCCAGTGAAGCGGATGCCTTTCATGCTTCTATGCATTGTCCATTGCAGGATGTTTTTCACCAGTGTGGTCACCTTCGCATAACCTTCAACATGGGTGCTTTCGGAGCTCCCACACCGCTGCTGGACTGCTATTTGATTGTTATTTGTTCCTGCTCGCATCCGCTGCGATTTCCTACTTTGTTGACCTGCCGAGGAAGCCGACACAGCTCATCGGGTCGGATGTTTTCCTTTTGACTTGCCTCCGATTCCTTGGAACTCATCCTGAGCTGGAGCGAGCGATGCTTCCCCGCAAATTCGGATTGTTCACCTGGAGTAGAGGTCTTGTGCATGCCTGTTTATTCGAAATGCTTCTGAGGTTTCTGTCCCGTGCCACAGAGAGGCTCTGCCATCGCACCCCTGGCGGTGGCTATCGGGGCAAACGTGGGTCTATGCCAGCCTCGCAGGCATATCCGCACACGTTCGGTCGTGCCGAGCCTCGATGGCTTTAGCTTCTGCGATTCCACAGGGTTTCTGAAGAATTACACTCTATATTGTGTTTCACCGAGGTGGCTTTGTTGCTCTCGCTCCGACACTCTGTTCCCGTGTTCCAACTTCGTGCTTCCTTGGGCGAACGATTGGACACCGTCTTGACGACCTTGGTGCACGAGGCCGGCCCGATGCAAGTAGAGGCTTGCATGGTTCATGCCATGATTCGGTCTGTTGCCCGATTGTCATTATTTTGTGTTTGCATCAAGGACAACGATCATCGGTTTGAAGGCAATGATGATTGTGTGGACCTCCTACCCGTGTTTCGCAGACGCAGACTGATGGTGCCAGACATCCCTGCTGCCTGCCTCAAGTCTGATTGTTGGGTTTGTATCGGTAGCATCAGTCTGGCTTAGGCCCTGTTGTAAAAGAAGTGGCCCAGCCTGAATTATTCTGATGCGCTTGTTCTTCTGTTTCAGAGGCTCGTTTGATTCGTTGCCCTTGCGGCCGGCTTGCTGCTGGCAACGATGCCTTGGCCCCACCGGTCGTGATCCATGACGGGGAGGTCTGGGAAGTGCTCTAGACGTGCCTGTGCTGCAATCGCAATACATTCCCTATCCTGTCTGCACACTAGCAGTTCAAACGATACATGGCTTCTGGCTTTGAACTTTGTGCACTTGCTTGCTCTGAGTCTATGTGATTCATGTATCACCTCGTTCTTTTGGTGGTACAAAATTCGGTTTCCATCTCTCTAGCTCTGGAACAACAACAAAGCTTTGCTTGTGGCTGCCGTTCCGGCGGCAAATTCAGTCTTTGCGAAAAATTGTGCACTGCTTCATTGCTTTGCCGAATGTTTGCCTGAGGCCGAGATATTCTCATTGGCTTCATTTTCTGGGGCAGTGCTTCGTTGCAGCATGGACGGCACTTCAGCTTTGGCTCCGGTGTCTTTGCTTTACCGATGTGTTGATACAAAGCACCCCTCAGCTGCTGAGGCAAGGCTCTTTGCCACGGCTGAAGCTGCTCATCGTGGTTGCGTTTGTGCGGAGATGCTCAATTGGTAATTAAACCAGATGGTGGCCGAGCGACTAGTCTTAGTTATCATCAAATTTGTGCATGAAAGGCACAAGCCTCTTGGACTAACCCGGATGATGATCAAAAGGTCACAGTTCCATGCCTCCTCGGCCTTTCTGTCACTGCTCTCCAGACTGTCTGGTTGTCCTCATCCATTGATCGATGTCCTGATTTCGGAATATGTGCTAGTACTTAACAGCTTGACTGCCCGGAGGGCGAGGTAAGGCTTGGGTTGCAGGATGCCAGTTGATTTGCAGAGTGGGCAGTGCTGAGGGAGGTCATTGCAAGTCTGTTTCTTTGGCAGAGTGCCTTGGAGATTGCCCATGCCAGCAGCTCCTTGGTTTTTTTGGGGGAGTGGGCAGCCCCTTTCCTCGTTGTCATGGTGGCTGGCAAGGTGAGGAGGACACTCTGGGAGGAATTGTCATGTTAAGGCTGGTCAGAAGCTTTATTTACCTTTGTAGATGGCTACTGTAAGTGATTGTTTTGAATTGCAGTAGGATGATGGCCTTAGGATTTCTAGCTCATTGGACACGTGTAGCTATTCTTGAGTATCGCCTTTAGTACTGGACTTGCAGACTAGCTGCCAAGCCACAGGAAGAGGATGGTAACTGCGAGTCTTGCGGAATAGCCGCGAATCGCGGACTAGCCGCGAATTATTGGATGAGCTGCGAATTGCGGACTAGCCGCGATCTAGTGTGTGGCCAATGTAAGCGATTATTTTGAATGGCAGTAGGATGATGGGTTTAGGGCTTCAAGCTTATTTGAGATCTGTAGCTATACCGCAGTAACTCATTAACTGGCGGAATTGCGGACTAGCCGCGAAGCCATAGGATGAGCAGGCTATCTGCGAGTTTCGCGGACTAGCCGCCAATCGCGGACTAGCCGCGAATTCTTGGAATAGCGCGGCGAATTGCGGAATAGCCGCGATTGACAGTACAGTTAGTAGAAGACCCGCGGATAGCTCGCGACTTAGGCATCTGTATCAGAGTCGGTAATGTAGGAAAGTTGCGGATAGAACGCGACTGCTGCGAAATCGCGGATAGCCCGCGACTTGGCGGATTAGCCGCCGAAACAGTAGCAGAATGCGAGGCTAGACTAGATATATGTGCCCAGTAATCCTTATTCCCTATATAGTCTTCTGCAATTTTAGCTTTGATTTTCCTTATGATTGTCCAGGACCCAGAGCACACGATCGTTGGCCTCGGAGACGGGGGCCGATTCCTCGAGCCCTCCGAATGCCCATCGGTTCTTGATGAACACGGCCCACCAAGAGTTGGAGAAGGCCCTAACAGGCCTGCCTCCTGCTGCAGTTTCTCTAGTCCGGTTTAGGCCGAGCATGGCAGAGCCAGGGACCCGATGTGCATCTGTGCAGGATCCGGCAAGCTTGGCAAGAGTGAGAAGAAAGAGAAAAAGAAGAAGGAGAAGTCCAGCAAGAAAGGACCGTGCTTCTGTGATTTGAGAACGGGAGCATGTTCAGTTCTGGATTGGGTCTTTTTGCCAGGATTGTTGCAACAACTTTTGCTGTATCCGTGCCAATGCAGGCCGTTCCTCTGAGTCGGACGAGAGCTCTGATGCGGACAGCGAGGAGGCTACGGAGGACAAGCAGGGCCTCTTCCGCCTGCTCAACAAAGAACTTGCGAGGTCCCTCGACCAGACGAAGCTGGAGGACCTCAGCTGCCAGCAGTTCGCATACACTTTGTCTGGACTGACAAAGTATGTGGTGGCCTCCGACATTTTGCAGGTGGGGGGCGAGAGTGTGCCTTGGTTTGACTGACTGCAGAGTGCATGAAGAGGGTTGCTGTTTACAAGTCTCTGTTTGGCTGCTAGACAGCTTAGGCAGATGTCCTAGGGCCCGAGGGCTATGGGAAACCACCTCTGAGGAGTCCTTGCTCACCGACTCGCTCAAGAGATCGAAGAAGCAGAAGGACAAGCAGGCGGAAAACGCCTCCCTTCGCAAGGCAGGTCTTTAATTTCCGGAGTGAAGGGGGAGGGTGTTTCCTGATGACCTTCATCTTTGCATTCTGCCGGGCAGCAGGCTGCCCGTGCCGTAACAAATTCCGGTGCTTGTGCAGGTGAAAACCGCCCAAGTCCTCTGGAGAAAGAGGTTGAGTCAGATTCTGGGCCTCTGTGCCTTGGCTTTCCCGGCAACTGCTGGCCTGTCATGTGTCTTGCATGCCTTTGTTCCTATCTCTGATGAACCGAGTTACTGGGAAGTCCCCATCGCAAGTCAGCATATCCACGTGCAAGACACTGGATGATGTATCCACCCTGCTCAAGAGCATGATGAAGAAGTACAAAAGGCCTGGTTGCACATTGCCAGCAAAGTTCGCCTCACGTTTTGCTGAACCCTGCTTCTCTGCAACTCTGCAGGCTCAACGGGCTTAGCAGTTCAGACCTCAACGACAAGTACGACAAGCTTTTGGCCAAGCTTGGAGAGGACCGAGAAGCGCAGGGTGTACTTTTACTTCTGCTGCTGTCTGTCAGTCGTTGCAGAGAGGTTTGTGACAGCAACTCCATTTCAGCTGCTATTTTCTGCAGTGTTTCCTCTTGAGATCCTTTGCAGAGCCCTCTTCCTTCGTCTTTCCAAACCATGGCTTCCGCCTCGCAGCAGCATCCTGCCCTGGGAGATGCAGAGACTGTAACGGAGCAGATCATGGGAAAGGTGAAGGACATGCTGGACAAAGAGATTCACCCCAAGGAGAGGGAGCTCTTTGAGAAGGAGAAGCTCCTGTTTGAACGTGAGCGGCTGCTACTTCAGAGAGAGGAACGGCTGACAGCCAAGGAAGCCCAGCTTGAACGGAGGGAGGCTCAGTTTCATCGCAGTCGCCAACAGGTCAAGGCGATCTGCAGACGCTGCAATGCTGGTAACTGGTGCAGTCGCAGCACCTTGTGCTATGATGAGAATGGTTTTGATGCCCATCATCATAGCTGTGCCCAGTGCCATGTTGCTTGGAAGCAGGGCTCAAAGGGCCGAGGGCGGAATTTCTGAGGCAGACTGGCATGCAGTTGCTTAATGAATGGTTCATGCAAGCAACTTCCTGAGCGAAATAATCTTGTGACGGAGCGCTTTAGACCTCACAGCAAGCCTTTCAGTGCCAACGTTCCGTGTCTGCTTCTGGCAGCTGAGCTCCAGCTTCTGTGCTCGGTGTTTTTGGACGCCGCACGGAGCGCAGTTTTGTGATGTCTGAGTCTCTGCAAACATCGAGAGAAAACCTGACGAGGCGGGCCGAGGGGTTGATGCAGTCCATGTCTGCATGCCCACATGTCGGAGTGTTGCAGCCTCAGCTGGTGCTCCTGCTTGATATCTTTTGTTTCTGTGATCTTTCTTGCTCGAGTGCTTTTGTTGACCCCGGAGGGCTCCTGAAGCCTGCTTGGTCGGTGGCCATGTTCAACCAATGGTCCGCCAACCCTTGGTTGCTTCCCCCGCCACCTCTCCCTAACCCTGTTCCACCGCCTCTGCCTATGCCGGTTCCTCCGGCAACGATGCCTATGCAGTTCACGGAGGCTTTCAGGGCTGATCTTCTCAGACAGCTGAGGGAGCAGCACGAGCTGGAGCAGGACAGGAAACGTGAGTCAGCCCAGAAGGTCGCAGCAGCACACCCGCCAGAGGAGGACCTTGCGGATCTGCTTCGTGACGAGAAGGGTGATGGTGGGGCTCCTTCCGGTGTGGGTGAGGCTTCGAATCCGAAGCCTGCTGCTTCCAAAGTGCAGAACAAGGTCCTGGCTCCGAAACCGAAGTACATCCCGGCGGCAAAGGTGAAGCCAGAGGCCCCAGCCTCTTCTCAGGCTTCTGAGGCTGTGGACCAGGAGCTTCCTGCCAGGCCCAAGGTAGAGAAGACTCGTCCTAAGCGGGTGGGCACCCTTTCAGTGCTGGGCGGAACTCTGGAGATCTACGCCAGGTTCACTCCGTCAGTACCGGCACCTGAAGTCACCTTGGAGCCGGTGCCTGCTGCAGTGACCTCTGAGTCAACGCCTGCCCGCCATCCGTTGCCTCAGGAGCCGGTGAAGGTCAACGACTCCGAGGTGCTGGAGAAGTGTGAGGAGGTGGCCGACTCCAACAAGGACGGCAACGTTCCGGAGCAGCCCGAGGCCTCCCAGAGCTCTGCCCCGCAGACCCCACCGAGGAAGCTCTTTGACTGCATTGCTTCCCAGTTAGGTGCTAGCTGGTGTCACTGAGGCCTTAGCCGGAGCTTTGTCCCTTGGTGTCTACTGTGATTTCTGAGGCATGTAAGCAAAAGGGCCATCGAGAAGATGCAGTATGGCTGCAAGCGAGCCCGGGGCGGAGCACAGCACCGCCAGGATCGCAACTTGGACTGGCAGGATGGTGACTACTACGACCAGCAGGATTGGTGAGCAATCCGTTTTGTGACGTGTGCTTTACACGTGTAAAGCGCGGATGGACAAGGCCTGTTTTGATCAGATGGCCTCTTTAGCACTCCGCTCTGGCAGCACTTGAGAAAAAAAGGTGGGCTCTTAGTTCTTTGCCGGCAAGACTTACTGCAACTGCGAGCACTGTTTGCCTGAGCATTCTTTTCCTATCATCTCTGCTTGCAGGAAGCGGAGCAGGATCTGAAGGACATGGCGGCTGCGAAGCCTCGCAAGCCGGCGACGACGGAGGGCTCTGCTGCAGACCTCAGTCTCCTGAGCCCTGGCTGCAGTCCCAAGCGAGGTCGCCGCAAGCTGAAGAACCGCGAGCTGAGAAGGAGACCTCAGGCCTCAAGCCCAGGCGACTGTTCCAGGAAGGCTCAAAGGCTGGATCGAAGCGATCCTTGGACTTGGACGAGTTGGAGGATGATGATCCGCAGGATGACAATGACCTCTTCGGTGGCAACTTCGAGCAGGACAGGAAGGCTTTGCAACTGAGCTCTCGGAAGAAGGTGCCTCGCAAGAAGGCCCCTGCTGAGCCAGAGCCTGAGTCCTCCCACGAGGCTGCCAGCCCCAAGCAGGAGGACAACAAGCCTGACGAGGAGGAAGCAGTGCAGGAACCATCCGAGCCAGAGCTGTCTTCCGATGCTGAGGCTACTGAGGCATCGGTACCACGGCCGTCCCGTGACAGCAAGGCCCAGGATGTGCGATCCAAGTTTGAGCCCGAGCTTTTGAAGCTCTTGCTGGACGGTATGTCTTCGCAGCTTGCTTGCATCTCCTCTGTTTGTTTCTTTGGCTGCAGTCGGATTTCATGCAGCAGAGCTTGAGGACAGATGCCGATCATTGCCTGGACCTCCTTTTGTGCGAGGACATCACCTCGTTGTCCGATGCTACGGAGCTGTTGTTGGATCTTCCTGCAGGCCAGAAATGCTTCATGTCCTACTTGGCTAGCTTTTCTCGGGTAATGCACTGAGCTTCCAAGCCCAAAGAACCGACTGCATGCAGGTGAGTTGCTGGAGAGCTTGGGGGAGAAGGCTAGGCTCTGTGCGAAGAAGCTCACCTTGACGGCTCGCAGAGCTGTGCTGCAGTGGCCGAAGAAGTTGAAGGACAGTCTTGTTGCCTTGCTTGTGTTTGTGCTGGACTTGGGTGAGCTGCCTGCCTATGAGGAGCATGCTGAGAAGGAATCCTAGGAGGGCGAGGGCTGCCTCGACAAAGGACTCATCTCGTGGAGTTGATTCTAGTGGAAGTCTGTGCTTCTGTATGCCCATGGAGGATCGATCATGGTTTTGCCTCTTTCGTGGCAGGAGTCAGTTTCTCTGGCAGGGAGTGAAAAGGTAAACTTGATGGTTCTTGGCCTGTTGGCATTTGCTCTGACCTGCTGCAGATGGCTGCAATTGTTGGTGAGTGGAAATCTGGATTTGGCGTTTTGGTTTGCTGAGGCTCCTATGCCTTTGCTTTTAGAAGTGCAAGACACAAGAAGCAACAGCAGACACGTCTGATGCACAACCGGAGGTTTTGGATTGTTGCTCAGAAGGATTTTGCAGAATCTAAGTTAACCACGTAGCTCTGTGCCAGCAGTGGGGAGCAGTTTGTAAGCCAATGAGTGAAAATGCTGGATCCACTGGGCCAACGTCCGCGAAGGCCGGGTCTGACCGCTGTTTTGGGGTCCCTCCTTTGTAGTACAAAGTAGTACTGGGAGCCGGTTCCGCAGGATTTGGCGGATGAAGGTGCTGCTTGGGGCCCTGTGTTTCCTTCATGAGTAGTACTGGGAAGGGTTCCGGCCACTTTTGCGAGATCATCGTTCTGCTTCAATGATTAGGGAAGAGAAAGTGGGCCTCTGGCTTGTCAGCGTGCTGCTTCGTTTTAGCGTTCTGCTTGCCCAGAACACCCCCTAGCTCTGCAGATTAGCGTGCTGCTTGGAAATTTTTTTTTGGGCATGTGCGCGCACGTGCCCAGCGCAGCAGCCGCGAAGCAGCACCTTGAAACGACTAACCTCCTAAACCACCAATTAGATCTACAAAGCTCTTCGCTTCAGCGTGCTGCTTCGTGGCGCTTTAGCGTGCTGCTTCAACACTACGACACCGGCCACGTGCGCGCACGTGGCCAACGCAGCAGGTCTCAAGCAGAACTCTGGCCGCGCGAAGCGGCACCCTGATGTGCACGAAACCAAGCAGCACTGTCATTTGCAGGCGGACCTGCGATCCTGGCTCCAGAAGAAGCTGGAGGAGCACCGGCAGCTCCTCAGTTGCAGTTCAACGTGCTGCTTCGCTTTAGCGTGCTGCTTCGGGTGAAAGAAAGCCCAGTCTTAGCATCCTGCGTACCTCTGTGAGGCTGAGTACAGATGCGGATATCCGCAAGTCCAAAGAGCTCTTCCTCCAGAAGATTGCTTTTGTGGACAGGAAGAGTCTGCAGAATCTGCCGGTAGCAGCAGAGAAGCAAATAGTGATGTCCGACTGGGAGGCGGGTCAGTCTTTTGCCTACATTGGATATCGTTTTTCTGCAACCCTCCCCTGGCCAGGCACTTCTGGATGATTGCCGTCAAGCGGCAGCGTCTGCAGGCTTGCCTTTGAGGCCTCGACTTCACGCAACTGCTGTAGCTCCCGAGGAGCCACAGCAGATTGTGGCTTTGGACGACGCCGATTTGGAGCCTCCGGCAGCTGACTCCACGGAGCGGATGGAGTACACGCCTACGAAGACACTCTTCTTGCAGACCCAAGCCGGGACTGCCGGCGTTTTTGAGGTCCTCAAGGCCAGGAAAGGGACTTGAAGTGAGTGCTTGGCATCTGCTTGCTTGGTGTCTGTTGGCAGTTTCCTGGCCAGCACCCGCAGGCTGAGGGAGATGTGAGCTCCGAGGGCTACAAGCACTACTTCCGGGCAAGCACAGTCTGGAAACTGTTTCGGAGGAAGCAAGCTTTCACAAACTGGTACACCAAGCTGCACCTTGTCTGCATCAGTGAAGCAACCCAAACCCGCCACGTGCATGCTGTGCCCACCAATATGGCAGGCGGGACAATTTGACATGCGAGATTGCAATGGCTTGGCGAATAAACCTGGATGTGCACATCATCCGGAAGCTAGGGTACAAGGGCAGGCAGGTAGACGTGCAGTCCCAGAAAGTGAAGCTTCCTTGCGATGCTTTCACCTTGCCTGGATGTCTGTTTGCAGCAACGCGGTTCGCAAGCTGTGTTTCTCACGAGTACTTGCTGTGCCCCAAAACCCGGGTTGCTGCTTTGTGATATGCCAAGGCAACCTGTGTTCTACAGATTCGCTCTTGCAAAGAAGATCTGCAGAAAGCTGCAGAGAAATCCCTCGAGACGCTGCTTGCCAGCGCCTGCCCGCCCGACATGCAGCTGAACCTTCTGCCCAACGTCGCGGCTTGCTGCTCCGCTGGAAGTCTGTGACTGTGCTTTGAAGCTTGCTTGTCCCAGCCGGTGGCAAGAAATGTGGCAATGAACAAGGCAAGTTGAAGTGTGTTGGCCACGATGTGGATCTAGCATCCTGGGAGACCTTCCTCAAGTTTGTGGACTGGCTACCGAGGCAGCGGAAATTGCAACTGAGAGCCTCCCGGGGTTTGTCAGATTGCTTCTTGGCCTAGGTGGCAGAGGTTCAAGCTTGCCTCGCCGGCCCAGCAGGACTTCAACGCAGGCCCACATGCTGCCTGTGTGCTTGAGTAGAAACATTTGCAGATGCGAGAGGTGTGCGGCTGTCGACAGCCGTCTGCTTCATCATGCGACCGAGTTTCAAAGAACCCTGTTGCGATGTTCCGGCCTCTGTTTTGAAAGCCAAAGCATCGTTCAACGTGAGAAATGACTGTCCTGGGACAACTGCAGGGCAGAGTTCCTTCCGGACGGCTGCAGACACGGCTTCTGCACTTGCTTGCTCAGTTTGCAGAAGCACACCTGCAACAGCGGCTGGTCCCAGAAATGCCCATGCCGAGCAGCAAGGACGAGTTCCACCCCTGCAAAGTGCCACTTCGCTCATGACAAGGATTGTTTGTGTATCTGTGTGTTTTGCTCGAAGAAAAGCCAAGGGACGGTCGCGCCTTAAAGAAAGAGGCAAAGCCAAAGCACGTCGTTTCGCTGCAGCGCTTTCTGGCCAGACAAAGTGGTTTTGCAACGGCTTCCGACGACGGAACCCTGAAAGACTTGGGGCTGAGCGAGTTCGTCCCAACCCACCCGCACAGGCAAGCAGTGCATTTAGCAACACAACTACTAACCCACACATTCGTAAGCCTTTCCGGTGAGGCTGTCGAGTGACTTCAGCTACCGGTACCTGAGGAAGGCAGCCTCAGTGGTGCACGAAGATTCTTGCCACCCGTGTGGTTCAGGTAAGACTTAGGAACAGTCCTTACGCACTGCACATCAGTTTTTGTTGTTGAGCAGATTGAGGAATTGGCCAAGCAGCCGGTCAAAGGCATTGCTTTCCTGTGCGATGCTTCCCCGAAAGCTCGCATGGATGCTGCTGGGCAACTGAACTTGTCTGTACGAATTCGCAGGAATCTGTCTCCCAGTGTATGTTTCGATTCAGATCAGCTTAGGTTTGGCAGCCAATCTTAGGCATCGGTCACTATGCAATCGCTTGGACAGTCCAGAGACTGTCCGACTTGCTGCCAGTCACTGCCAGCAGCGGCCAAAAACAGGAGGAACTGCAGTCCCTGGCTGACAAGATGCTCCAACAGGATGCTTCAGCCGCCACCAAGATGTGCCTCGGCTTGGAGCATCAGGTTCTTCGCAAAGTCTGCTGTATGTATCAAAGCCAGCTCTGACACCAAGGCCTCGTGCCGTTGGTCGGTTGAGTCTGAGGCAGGAGAGGCTTGCCAGCAGAGAACACATGCGAGCTGTGCTACACAGCTTGGACCTTCTCGACTTGGAACTTGCTCCACTTCCTGTCTCTTACCGGGCACCAGATGCCGAAAAGCATGAGACTCGGGAGATGTACGGCAACCGTGCTTTTCTCTTCAACTACGACACCGGCATCGCTGAGTGGGTGTGCTCGCCGGACCAGGACGGCAGCGAAGCGGACTCGGGGGTCCGGGTAACGCTCCACCCGGACGAGGGCGGACCTCTCTTCTGTGCCTGGCAGTTTCTGGCTTCTCTCGACTTGCCGGTCGGTTTCTGCCGGGACGAGACGCCACTTTGCAGGCAGTAAAACCGGCAGCAGCTGCAATCTGTGTCGTTGGTAAGAACCACATGAAATCTTGTGGCTGAGGCACAAGCTGCAGACCCACTTCCTCCGCTTTCTGCATGCCACGCCTGGAGTGCGGCGAGTCCCGACAGCAAGGGGGCCGAGGCTTCGGATTTAGGACAAAGCGCCGACGTTGACACCAAGCCATGCAGATGCTCACAAGCTGGCTGATGAAAGCCAAAAAATCGCCTTGGGCAACACACGCGGTGGGAAATACATGGATGGAGGCCTGCAGGAGATACCTGCAGATCGCACCCCGGCTGTTCCTTAACTAGTCTGTTGTGTGGTGGCATCCGCGGAAAGACAGTGGTGGTGGTTGCAAGAGTTTAGTGGTGATTTGACTACTACCTGCTTCGCAAGGCTAAGAAGGACGATGTCCTCATGCAGATGTTCAGCGAGCACATCTTGCACGAGTGCCTTTGCTTCACTGAGCATCTTAGTTGGAATCGGTAGAAAACATTCGTGAAATTATCATTGCACACAAAGGCAGGGCTGGAAGCCTTCGGACGATGCAGACTTGAACTTTGCCCGAGTGGTAGAGGTGCTGCAGAAGATGAGCAGGACTTGCCTTGCCCCAGTCCATATCCCCAGACATTCCGGTTTGCTGTTCCTGCAAGGAGAACAGGTTCAATTTACGAGCAAGGGAGATGGTGCAGCTGGGGGTTCTGCAGTCAAAACTTCCGATGCTACTATTCTGCTCAGCTCTTGGTGGTGATGTGGGCATGTCTTGAGGTAGGGAACCCAGCAGAGAAGCTCGCTGCATGCAGTAAGGAATTTGGCCTCTAGCACTCTGCACTTCAGGAAGGAAAGAACCCCTACGCAATGGCTGCAGCCCCGAGCACAAAGACGGCCACGGGTATGTACGACAAGATTGTCGACTTGTGCCTCAAGGCCAGAGGACCCAGTTTCTGACGCATGTCTTATCCGGTCCACGGTGCATGGAGGCATTGCTGGATGAATCCTGTGCCGCCCTGTTCAAGAGTGTCTCGTGCATGTCGGAGCCGTTCACAGACACGTGTCTCTGGCTGGTATCTAAGCTGCAGTCCTGCAACGTCCAACTGTATGTGCATGTAGTGTCTGTTGCTGCAATATTCGCACGATCAGGAACGGCACTCCAAACAGCTTGATGCTCTGCAGAAGCAGACGCTGTTCGTGTGTGGCCCGCAGTACGACCTGAAGTACGACAGGCTCATGAGAGTCACCTTTGGCGAAGTGGCCCTTGAGAACCTGGGCATCTCCTCGGATCTCGCGCCGGCCCAGGACAGCGAGGGTCGCACTGCCGCTCGGTGTCCACGTTTCAAGTGCAATATATGCGGTAGATGTGTGTGTGCAGTCAAAGCTGATCAAGCATAGTCATAATAGAGTCGAAAATCTGTTTCCTACACTGATGACTTTTGTTCACTGTGCAACTTAGTCGCGGAATAGCCGCGGGTGTAGTCCATTACTTCAAGAATCTTGACAAACCCCTAAACACTGTACGGCTATACTACCTCCAATCAAACTGAAAGCTGCTCGTCTGCTTGGGAACAGGGGGGGAAGCAAGGGTAGATCATCCCTTGGGGTACAGCACTCAGCAACCAGTGCTTACAGGGAAGGCTTAAAGTACTCATTAGATTCATCAAGGCATGGTTGAAGAGGGCGGTTTCCAAGGGCAAGGGTGTGAGGTGGTAAACACAATTTGAACTGTTGTAACTCTAAGGGATGTGAAGTCTGAAGTAAACAATTCTCAACTAGCATATATTTTTTGTAGTAACTATTGCCAAGTGCTGACCAGACCATGCATCCTGGAGGGGAAGCAATCATTCAGAGGGGGGTTGAATCTAAGCATTCATTTGGCCATTGTGAGTAAAAGCCAAGGGTTTTTTAAATTCACTAAGTTCGAATAAGACGTGACATCAGCTAGGAACTTGTTAAAAACCACGCCCCACCCAGCAATGCTCGCCTAATTTTGTCAACACCCCAGCCGCGGCTAAACCGCGACTTTACTTTCTTCTGCCTGTCTGCTGCGGCATAGCCGCTCACTTGTAATACTCACGTAATTGGCTGAGCCATTAAAAAAGGAATTGTTTACAGAATCCGGAGTTTGTTATAGGCGGCAAATCCGCACGGGTCTTAATCGCGGCCTAATCCGCAAGTATGTTGTGCCAGTAGATATCTTGTCGGCTAGTGCTATGTTTACAGACACCAGGACTCACATCCCTGACCCGGCTTCAAAACACTCTCAAGAGAAACAAGTATAGTAAGATCTAAGCGAGTTTTGTGATTTGTTGGAGGGCACATTTCTTCTATTTGTTTTCTCCTTCCGGAGTGCAATGCCTGAGACCACAAAGCTTAAGGCCTGTGGGACAGCATCCGAGGTGCTGCAGGTGAAGAAGAGACGATCAGCAGAGCAAGAGGAGCTCTTCTTCGATCACATTCACGCAGGGCTTTCTGCTTTGATGGAACTTAGGCAGTACAAAGTCTATCTTCAAAGCTCGCCCCACCAAGCAGCCGCCTTGCTGGCAGAGTGTGACGGAGGCTCTGCAGAGCAGGATGTGAAGAACGCTATCCTGCGGGCCATGCAGATGGAGTGGAGTTTGGTGGTCGAGGCTGAGAACAGCCTGAAGCTTCATCACCTCATGCGATCATCCTGCCCCCACACACGGTTCGTGTACTACAGAGAGGTGATGAGTGTCTTTGAGAAAGAGGGCTGGGTCCTCAACTCCGCCACGCAGTCCCTCCTGAGGGCTTGGTTCCCACGCCTCGGCAGTTCCTGCAACGTTGAGCAATGCTTCAACCACATGGAGGACAGCATCAAGCGAGCCACGAAAGCCAACTCTTCCAGTGTGCCCAATGTTCAGTGCCTCGGCATTCGTGCCGTGGCCAACAAAGTCTGCCAAGGAGAGAAGACCGCAGAAGCTATCAGTCTCTCTCCGGAAGATTTCGAGGGAAACGAAATCAGGGCCATAAAGCCGAATGTTTGGAGAGCTGATTCTTACATCAACAGCACCTCGGCTGATCCATCTCGTACAGAGCACAATGCATTTTCAGAGAGACAGTCTGGACAGGGAATGTTCATATTGAGCAAAGAGACACCCCTTCAACAAATCAAACCAAGTAGCAGATGTGATGCCACCAACGCAGCAGATAGAAAACGCAGAGGGGCAGAGAGAGGAACAAGCAAAATACGGCATTGGGCACTACACTACACTGAGGAAAAAGACAACCGCAGAGGCTTGAGCAAAACCCGAGCAGAAATACGCAAGCAAAACAACCAAGGAAACCCCAGGAGAACGAGAAAATAACGCTTCTTCAGCAAGGACGCTGAAGCAAGATGTGAGAGAGCAAGAGACACATTAAGCAATGTCAGGCTGTTTATGTCTACAGTGGACGCCAAAAAGTTGGAACATGCACACCCTAACATTCAGCACTCCATGAGCGAGCGCGTGCAAGTTCCAATTTCGGCATTATGTTCCAAAGTTGGAACATTCTGATTCTGACTGGACCGGCCGGAAAACCCAGTGTCTGTGGATGTCATCAAGGTTGGCCATGGATGATATGGACATCATTATGCTTGGAGGGTGGGGGGGCACCCTGTGGAGGGGAAACAACCTAACCTAGCACTATCCTAAACCCTAAGCCCAGCTTCCCCTGGTTGGGGGACCCCAAAAAAATATACAGTAAATGCTGGGCCCTAAACCCTACGTGCCCGCTTTCCCCTAAAACTTGGGGGGCTAGGCACCCTAAACCCTATGCCCGGTTTCCCCAAAAATATAGCATAGGGACCTAGGCAGATGTGTCCTAAACCACCCTGAAAAACCCTGAAACGAAACCACCCCCACACGCAAACCGCAACCCTAGGAACCGGGGGGGCGGGGGGCGGGTTGGGAGGGAGGGTTTGAGGCAACACCAACCATGTTCCAACTTTAGCCTCCAAGATCAAAGTCGGAACCTGTGGCTTGGGGCCAATTTGCTCCAGTGGACACGTTCCAACCTCCCGGCTTCCACCATAGACCAGGCACGAGGCAGGCAGAACACTAATAATAAAGCACAAATTTCCTGTACGTGCAAAGAAGACCCTAAACAATATGTCAATGCGACGGTCGCCGTTGATGCGTTTTTTCGGTAGACGTATTCTGGTTCGCAGCCTAAGCATACGCACGCCAACCGCTGTACGACTACAACTTCAAGCAGCGATTTCCAAAGGTCCGCATTTCCGACTTGACGACATCCTCAAGAAGTTTGGCAGCACCTCCGCTCATGCCCACACAAGAATGAACCTCAATCTCATGCAAGCTTTTCTGCTGGGCAAGAAGATGCTCGGCATGCACTCGGCTGCTTCTAATAGAAAAACATTCGAGTTGAGCACACTGGTCCTAGCATATCATAGAGCCTGGCACATCCGAAGGAACGGTGTGTGCATGGAGGAGATGGCATCCAAGACGTGGGTGCCCAACCTGGTTGCCCCAGGACGCCTCTTGCTGGTTGATGGCCAGTGGCTCTTGGCGGTCGGCAGCACGCCCGGCCTGCTCTACGCAACTTTACTTCAAGAAAGCAAACCTAAAATGTGAATTGTTTTTATTCCTTCTCAGCATAACATTCGTGCCAGACGTGAGGCTTTGCAGATGGCAGAGATTCACATGTTTTTTGCGGGCCCATTGCCGCCCGAAACGGTGGATGAAACCGCCGTGGCTGGCGAAGGGCACAGCTTCAAGATCGATGATCCGCTGAATGCTGGTGATCATGTGAAAGCACTCGTCTTCGCTGCCAAGAAGCATCCTAGCAGCAAGTGGTAGTCAGTCAGGCTTGCAGACAATGACAAGTCTTGCCTCCAGTAACCGATCTGCACCTAACCAGCAAGGCCGCTCATCCGTGAGATTCTGCTTGACTTCGAGAAGGATTGCTGGGTGCTAATTTAGTGAGATTTCTTTTGTCCGCCTCTAGAAGATTCCCATCTGCATGATCGGAAGAGATTGCAGGTTCAAGTCTTCCAGTACACCACGCATTGGTTGGAAGGCTCTCTTGCCACGAAGATTGGGAGCTGCTGCATCCTTCGGCGGGGTGTGGCAGGTCGAAGCCTTTCGTTGGACTTGATCCTAACCGGCGAGATCCTCAAAGTCACCAACGACTCCTTGTCCAAGATGCTGAAGATCGAGGACATCTCCTGCCGCAAGAATGCCACGAAGAGTGCCAAGATCAAGGCACTGATGGACAAGCCGTCGTTGAAGGAGGCCATCCCCGAGGAGAGAATCACAGAGATCTTGGCCACACTGCAGATGATGGATGAGAAGAGGCGAAAGAGAAAAACGGATGACAACGCTGACGAGGAAGACAAAGAGCAGGCAGAGGGAGAAGAGGACCGACATTGCTGTCAAGGTGTTGTAATGTAGAAACGGTGCTTCATGTGGCAATGCCCAAACAGGAGATGCTGCCAGATGATGGCGACGAAGTGATGAAGGCTGCAGCTGCCGCCGTCCGAGAAATGGAGCAGAATGCTTCTCCTGACGACCAGGCCTTTCTTTTGCAACCCCCATGCACCCTGGAGCATTCCTTGAAACAGTTCTGCACAGTTCTCAAACGCCTGGAACCTCCCACTTCCAGTTCACATTGGGTTTCAGCCACTAAGGAACCGAAAGGGTTGATGTGTTGTTTCGGCAGTTGGATTTGATTGCTGCACCTTGCCATCATAACCAGCTGGAGAATCACAAAAAACCGTGGTACTCCCTCCTCCGATTTTGATTCCTGTCACATGCAGGACAATGCCCAAGTTGAGCAGCCACCAGCTCCGCCAGCGGAGAATGCCGAGCAGGAGAGGGAAAGCAGAAGGAGCATCTCGAATGCTGTGGCGATCCCGCAGTTCTTGAAGGACAAGTTTGCCATGCCTTCCGAGATCGTGGTGACGCATGTGCAGCATCGCACAAAGACGCTTCCGCACTTTCAAGCTCGCCTGCCGGCGGGCTTGACTCATGACAACAAGCAACCTCGATGCAGAGTCGGTGCATGATTGTTGAATGAGGGAGCCCCAATTAGACCAGGTTTTTGTCCTTACCTGATGTTTAATTCTCTCTCAGCTTTCCATTCCGTTTTGAGCATAAACTTGCTCAGCTGAGGGCCTCTACATCTGCATCTTACAATCCCGTTTTGCCGGTCGATCAGCTGAATGAATCTTTGACATCGATTGCAATGCAAGTGGCCCGCCAGAGGAGTCAGCTGCAGGCATGGTTCATGGTGCACCGGTGGGTGATGGAAGCAATGAAGCCATCGAACAAGAGGAAGCGCGAGTGAAAGAAATCCTTCCTGCTGTCCGACATGAGATTGAGGGTTTACTTGCATTGGGAGATTATCCTGCTAGTCCCCTCTGTCTTTGACTGGTAGTGGGACCCTGAGCATTGCTTTTCAACCTGCAGATCTGCTGAGTTAACAGTCACTCAATCAGGATGACTATGCAACACTCCTCCCACTAGCAGAGCTGATTAACACATTCCAAGCAGCACCCAGAATCGAAGCAGTAGGCAGCTTGAAGCAGCATGCGTATGGAGGGCTATGAATAAAGCCCTACACCCAGGGAGGGAACCTAGGGCTTGGGTTCATTTAGGATTTAGGAGATCTGGATTGAAGGCTTGGGTCGAGGCTTCATGCTTTTAAGGGTTGAGGATGTTGCGAAGTCTTGCTGTAGATTTCATGGTTCAAGGCTTCGCAGCTGCAGAAGTATTAAAGGAGCTGCGAATTGAGGTCCAGAAGTTAAAGTGTTCTGTTTGAGTTGTACGACTCAGGGTTGCAGAAATTGTTTAAGATGGATCGGCGTTGGATATCAACCTCTCTTGGATCTTAAGTCTGACCCTAAACCCTAAACCCTCAAACCTCAACCCTAAACTCTAAACCCCAAACCCTAAAGTCTAACCCTAAACTCTTAACCCTAATACTCCCGGTGCATCCGAAACCCCAAGGATGCTCCCAGGCGCCGGTGGCGATGGATTGCGATCCTGGCATGCCAAGAGCTGCGCTTTAAAGGGGTTCTATAAGGGTTTAGTGTTTAAATTTAGGGCTCCTTGACAAAATGTGCATAAAGGTGCTTTAAAGGTCCTGCACTTTACAAAGGGTTCTATACGGTTCCTTAACAGGTTCTCATTTATGAGACGCTTCTAGGGTCCTGTAAGGTTAAGGGTTTAGGGTTCCTTGAAAGTTGTTCATAAAGGTGGTTTAGTTCACTGTAGGTCCTCTAAGGGACTGGAGGTGTTGGAAGCTGGCGGTTGAAATGACCTGAACCCTGAGCGAATTGAAAAACCCTGGCCCTAAACCCTGCAAGCCATAACCACTGTAAACCCTAAAACCCAAACTTTAACCCCGAAGCGCCATGAACCCTAAGCACTATTAACCCTTAACCCCAGCTCTGAACAAAATAAACCCAAAACCCTCTAAACCCAACCCCTACATACTACAAGCCCTAAGTGCCATACTGCCTAAAACTAGTTCATTGTTGGGATAGGATTAAAAATATACATTTTTATTCCTGATTGGGTTCAAGCAGCCATAAACATGTAAAATGCTACCCAACTATGACAAAGTAAACCCCTAAACCCCTAACCCAAAACCTAAACTGTCCTCTACTCCCCTTGGAAGGTAAGCAAAAAACTACCTTTTTCGGAGACCCCTATAAAAGAAGACCGGAACCAAAAAAGGAGCAAAGTAACAAAGTCTCCAAGAGCCCTCAACCCTAACCCAAACCCTAAACCCTAAACCCCAAACCCTAAACCCCTAACCCAAAACCTAAACCCTAAACCCCTAACCCTAAACCCTAAACCCCAAACCCAAAACCTAAACTGGTCCGTCTCCCCGGGTCCTCCGCTGTCCCCAGCGATCGCAAACGCCAGGAGCCACCGGCCTCGCGCGCGAGCGCCCGGCAACCCTGGCCTCGCAGATGGGTCTCGGTTTAGGGGTTTAGGGTTTAGGGTTTAAGGTTTAGGGTTTAAGGTTTAGGGTTTAGGGTTTAGGATTGCTTCTTTCAAGGGATCCATAAGTGTTCCTTTAAAGGGATCTTTAAGGGTTCCTTTAAAGGGATCCTTCAGGGTTCCTTTACAGGGATCCATAGGGGTTCCCAAAGGGTCCAAGTATCATTTATAGGGTATTTTGGGGGTCTATGCCATAATGATACTTGGACCCTTTTGCTTCTAGAAGGCGCGGGGTTTAGAGGTTTAGGGGTTTAGGGTTTAGGGGTTTTGGGATTTCGGGTTTAGGGGTGTAGGGGTTTAGGGTTGAGGGTTTAGGGTTTTGGGGTTTAGGGATTTTAGGGTGCTTGCTTCAGGATTTGGGATTTTGGGGTAGTTTGGATTTGGAGTCTCAAATACAACGGTTAGGGTTTAGGGTTTGGAGCTTAGGGTGTAGAGTGTTGAGTGAGTTACTGTGTTCTTGGGGTTGAAGGTTCATAGTTGAGTCGACTCTTTAATCTGCTTCATGCTTTCCTCTGTGGGTATTTAAGGGCTTGCCGTTCAGGGTCCAGGAATCAGTTGGGTGTTTGATCTGTCCTATGTTAATGCTCCTCTTGGTGACTTGTGACGGAGGCTGTTTTTGGACTAGGGTCTGGGTTTGGGGCTTGGGGACAGGATGTTAGATCGAGGTGAAACTATGCTTAGTATTGCCGCTGTTGGCATGCCGAGCCCTATGAGCCCTAAACTGCCCTAAACCCCTATAAACCCTAAACCCCTAAACACTGAGACCCTAAACCCTTGAACCCCAGACACTACAACCCTGAAGCCCTAAACCCTCAACCCAACAGTTCAGCCAAAGCGGCCTGGCCCACACCAAGCTGTTTTCATCTCAAACTCGCCGATCTGCGAGAGAGGCCCTGGCACTGGGAGTTTACGTTGCCTCCCTTCATAAGAACCCAGTTTTGGGGGGGTTCAGGGTTTAGGGGTCCTTTAAAGGGATACTTTAAAAGGCATCCATGAAGGTTTTTGTGCCAGAAGTTTTCTTTTGTGGGGTTCAGGGTTTAGGGTGTATCTGTAGCCGAAAGGACCTACCTTATTATGGCTTCTATATACAGTTCCTCCTCAACAAGGTAGGTCTTTCGGGCCGCAGGTGTTACTGTTTGTTGTGACTTGTTCAGCTTATCACTACATCTATCTTTTGCCCTTTATCAATGACTTGCTATTGGCTGCTGTTGTTAGTTTTGTTTCTTTACCTCTGTATCTGCTTCTATATCTGCTCAGTTTAAGTTACGTGTATTATTATGAAATTTTCGGGGCCGGTTTTAGGGGGCTTTCGTCTTTGTGCCTCAGTAACGGGATGCTCTGGTTTTTGTCTGGCGGGAGCGATGGGTTCAGGGTGAGGGTTTGGATTGAATATTGCCCTAAACCCCAAACCCTAACCCCAAAACCCTAAACCCTAAGCCCTAATCCCCAAACCCTAATCCCAAAACCCTGCCTGTTTTCGGGGCTCAGAGCTTTCGTGTTCTGAGTGAAGCGCGTACGTGTGCCTTTTCATGAGGGGGTTGGAGGGGGTTTCTTTGTAGTATAAGTATTCTGAGGAACACTGAGGATATGTTTTTGGGGGGTCCTTTGAAGTATAAGAATTCTAAGCAACCCTACAAAACATAGTGGCAATTATTGAGGCCTCTATGTTAGATCTTAACAGCAGGTATCATGGTTCGCTTTGGTATGCCGGTATGCTCCATCACTAATGGTCCTATGGAGCAGCAGAGCCTGACCAGGGGTGTAGGGCCCAAAAAGATCGCAACCGAAGAAACATGGATAGGGATATCCCATATAAAACTTGACCCGTTGCAATGCAGCCCAATAACGTAGGGAAATAAATCGCTGTACGGCTGTTGCAGTTGAAACGAGTCGGCCCTGCGTTCAGTACCAAAAATCACTTCACGTGAGATCCCTTCGCCATATAGAAGCAGGGCCCAAACCATAAAACCCTGAACCCATAAACCCCTAAACCCTCACTCCTAAGCCCCTAAACCCTAACCCCTGAACCCTCAACCCCTTAAGGGGCTATGGCATCTCCTAAACCCTTAAACCCTAAACCCCTAAACCCTAACCCCTAAACCCTGAACCCCTCAAAGGGCCTATGGCATGGCTTCCATTCAAGCCGTACGTTCGTGGCGCCGAGTGCCTCGGATTGCAGGCTACGGTCTGACTTTGGGGGTTTCCAGGACCACGCCACGGTTTAGGGTTTAGGGTTTGCACATTGAGATGTTTTTTCCCAAAGGGTCCAAAGTACTGTTATGGGGGATACTTCCCCAAATCATAATAGTAATTCCTAATATAGAAACCCTACATTCTACTACAAAGGTACTTGGGACCCTTTGGGTTTTGGTCCCTAAGCCCTAAACCGGGTATTTAATAGGCGTATTCAGGGTATGTTACAAGGTGGTTGGGGGGGGGTCTAGGTTGAGTTCACAAAGACATTCATCCTGGAGGTGGCCTCATCTATCAAGGATAGGAAGTTCAGGCGCCTTAATAGGTTTAGGGTCTAGACTAGGTTTTTTGGATAGATTGTTGGTACAATATACCAGGACTACATTCAGGACCCCTAAACCCCGAACCCTGATTCCCTAAAGCCTCAAACCTACGGTGCCCCCAGGGGCCCGATACAGATGCCCAAATCATTAACAGTATTATTCCTTAGTTAGGGCCCATGATTCTAACCAAACTAGCACAGACCCTCAAACCCTATTCTAATCGCAGAGGCCCCGATAATCAACCCTTATGGTAGCCCTTCTGGAATCCCTTGTTGGAACCCTTCTAACGGAATCTCCTTCTAGTGCCGTTAAGGCCTTCATGGGTTCCGGGAGTCTGACAAGACCTACACATCGAAAGATCTAAACCCCAAAACCCCAAAGCCCCAAACCCTAAACCCTAAAACCCCAAAGCCCCAAACCCCTAAACCCTTATAAAGTCCGAATCCCATGACCCCTGAACCCTTAAACACCGAACAACTCTATCCCGAAACTCCCTATCTCCCAAATCCCTCGATGCCGGAAGCCCTAAGTTTTAATGTGTCTAGTACCGTATCTACGAGTCCTGAGTAGCCCCAGGCACACTGCAAAGGGCGTGCCGATGACCATTCCGGAGGCATTGCAGTGCAGAGACGTGACCTGGTAAGGGAGAAGACTGGGAAAGCCTGTCAACACCTTCTCAACGCCTGACACAACAAGCCTCAAACCCTAAACCCTAAACCGTAAAACCCTAAACCCTAAAGCCCTAAAACCTTAAAACCCTGGCCAAAACCAGCCTCAAAGAAGTTCGCCGGCTCCGGCCACTGCGCGACAAGTCTGCGTCGCTCCGGCAGTATCTGCAGAGCTAGCAAGGGTTGTAGAGGGGTTGTGAAATATAGGGGCCTTAATAATTGGAATAGGGTTTGGGGGGGCCATTATACTACAATTATAATGAGGAGCCCCCAAAAGAGTATAGGTAACTATGAGGGCTTCTACATTATCGAGATTCAAGCAGGGTTGAAAGAGTTTGGGATTGGAGTTTTGCGTTTCAGGCTTTGGGGCTTCGGTATTGGGGTGTAGGGTTTCGGGTCTAGAGTAGACCCGACAAAGTTGGAAACCGGATTAAGGCCAAATACTGCTGGGATTCCCTATATATTGCTCTTAAGGATAGAGACCATTGGGTTTCCAACTGTTGGGCTTCTACTATATAGCTGCTGAGACACACCGGAATGTCCGGGCATGGGATGCAGCTACCTGTAGCTGCAAGCCATTTGAGGTATCTTTGTCTCATACCCTGCAAAGTCCAGCTGGCCATACGTAGGATTTTGGGTTGAGGCTTCAGTTTCCGCGGATATTATCGCTATATACCCTAAACCCTGCTACAAGCTTGCTAAACCTTAAACTCTTAACCGTAAACCCTTCAAGCCGTAAACCCTGGACCCTAAACCCTCAACTCTTAACCCTGAACTCTGAACCCCTCCTTCACCCTGAATAACCTACCTTTTTTGAGTTCCTTATTATTATGGTTTCCTTATATAAGTCCTTAGAAAGGTAGGTTATCCCGGGTCAAGCTTCACCCTAAACTCAAAACAGCTCTTTGCCCGCGCAACCGGCCTTGGCAGGCGACGATTGAGTGATGATGCCATTGACATCGATCGGGCCTTGGTGGGTTCTTCTTACCCCAAGGGTCCAAGTACCCAATAATCATATACTCTCCGAAATCCTAACCTTCATGTAACTGCTACTGTATCCTAAAACCGAGTACCAAATTACTGGGTCCTTTGGGCCCTTCGAGTTAAGGCTTATAGAGTCGGGCATTGGTGATCTTCTTGGGGCTTGTATAGGGCTTAGGGGATTAAGGTTTTAGACATTTTAGGATAAGTGCTCCTGGGTTTTAATGGGTATGAGGGGTAAGGTTGTAGGGGTTCTAGGATACAGTGTTGTTCTTGTGGTTTTTAGGATTATAGGGTTTAGGGGTAAGGTTTTAAAGTTTTGGGCTATAGCCGAAGGGCCCACGTACTCACATGATCTATGCTAGACCTTCCTGCATAGGTACTTAAGGTCAAAGCATGCATACACTATGGCGGTCCATGGTCTTTCTCAAGATACTTCTAGGATGAAAATACTTGGCGGACTTCTGAACCCCTCCTACAAGTTAAACTTTTAGTCTCCTTATTATAGTTCATATAGAAACCCAAAAAGTTAAAGTCTAAAGAGCCAACCAGAAGAACGCCAAGAATAAGGTACCTCTATGGGGCTCTGGGTTTAGCATTTCGGGATTAGGGCTCAGGGTTCAGGAGCTATTGGCGGGTTGTATATCTCTCCTATGGGGACCTTTGAGAAAAGTGCACTTTGAAGTAGCCAAGGAGAACAAAGTATAATAAGTTATATAGTTCTATAATGGCTCTTTCAAGGAACAGGCCCAAACAACCGTATTCAAGTATGGTACTCCAAACCCAGGACTAAGGGTCGGACTGCCACCGACATCAAGGAAGAAGTTGACCGTGTGGATGAAGCCTCCATGGGCTCCGAAAGCAGAGATAAAGGGCGTGCTATGCCATCATCATTTGACTACGGACCTTTCTCGGGCCTCCAGCAGTTGAACAGGGTTCTTGGCAGCATATGCGGTTTTGGGAGTACGGGTTTTAGGGAAGTTCAGAGCGTAGGGTTTGGGTTTTGGGCGGCTTTGGTCGGGCATTACCATGACACCCTAAGCACCCAAACGCGAGTTCAACACTAAAGTCCTAAAGACCTGTCTTGACACCGAAGTAAATCCCTAAACGGTGGCGCCCCAGAGCCTTACAAGCCAAAAGTCTAATACTCAAACCTGGCGAAGCCAAAAACCGAACAAATCAAAATCAGGTCTGACGACTACGTTTGCGGATGACCCTGGCTGGTTTAGGGTTCTCTAGCTGTTTTGTAGAGTTCTGTGTAGGGAAGTTCAATTGCGCTGTTTTTTTGAGGTTGTGCTAAGTGGCTGGAAGCGGAATTTCATGGCTGTTTCCCAAAGGGTCCTATGTACTGTTATGGGGGATACTTCCCCAAATCATAATAGCAATTCCTATTATAGAAACCCTACGTTCTACTATAAAGGTACTTTGGACCCTTTGGGTCATAACTCCACAGGCCTCCAAAAAGCCACAACCAAATCATGGTGGTCGTGAAGCGTCCCAAGACCAGCCATGCAACGTGGTCCTCAGCTCACTTGCGCTGAGTAAATACATTTCCCTTAAACCCTAAACCCCTAAACCCTAAACCCCTACACCCCCAAACCCTAAACAGCTAAACCCTAAACCCCTGAACCCTAAACTCCACAGCCCCTCTTGATCCGGAAACTCCACCCAAAGTGGCTTTGAACATACTGTCCTTACGGTTTATAAGAGGGGTTAAGTGGGTCTGGCAATCCGTCATTAGATGCTTAGGGTCATAATGAGACCGAAAAACCCTGAGCCCTAAACCCCCAAACCCTACACCCCTGAACCCCCAAACGCCTAAACCCCCCGAAACCGCGGAACCCTCAACCCCTGAGCCCTAAAGTAACTACTAAACTGAAGCCCGACTCCAACTCCCTAAACCCTAAACCCTAAACCCTAAAACCCCACGCCGAGTGTCATGGCCGCGACGTGCAGGATCCTTCTTCGGCCTCAGCTTGCTTGGCTTAGGCTTTTAGGGGGATGAGGGGCTTAGGGCTTATAGGGTTTAGGGCTTAGGGCTTTAGGGGTTTAGGGTTTAGGGGTTTAGGGCTTTAGGACTTTAGCGGTTCAGGGTTTAGGGTTTTAGGGTTTGTAAGGTTCAGGGCTGACGTGTTAGGGTTGAGGGCGTATAGGGTTTCAGGGTTGAGGGGTTTAGGATTTGGGGCTTGGGTGCAGAAGAGGGGGGGATACTTATCAGAACTCTCATCGTAATTCCTGCTCAGTCCTACTATAGAAACCCTACTTGCGACTACGCCTGTACTTACGACCCTTTGGGCTATACAAGTACCAGGAGGGTTCTATAAGCGTTATGAAGCGGGTTCTATAAGAGCAGGGAAACCGTCAAACTTCGTCAAACCCCAAACCCAGAACCTAAACTCTGTACTTCTCAACTCCTAAACCCGAAACCCTAAACCCAATCGGTCGAAACACCAAACCCAAAGGCCCCGGCCCTAAACCCTATGGCCCTAGACCCCCACAGCCCTGGCTCTATTGCATGTGCTGCCAAGGGACGTGTCTTGCCCGAATCGGCCCTGTCAGACGGATTGGAGCCAAGGGTTCAACGCTAAACCCTATCAACCTCGGGGTGTAGACCCAGACCTTCCAAAATCCCTTAATTAAGGAATATACCTTAAATCATATAAGGGATCCTATTATAATTTAAGGTATATTCCTAAATTAAGGGGTTTTGGAGGCTCTGGGTCTGCGACTTGTAGTGTTGCGGGAGAGGGAGGTTCTGTCTTGGAGTTTCACCACTCTCCTTCCCCAAAGGGTCCAAAGTACCGATATAGTAGAATGTAGGGCTTCTATATTAGGAATTACTAGTATGATTTGGGGAGGTATTCCCCATAGCAGTACATAGGACCCTTTGGGTTCTTCACTTTCCAACAGGGGAAGAACTGGATCAACCGGGACCCCTCGCCCAAGGGCCCTTTAGCAGGGCCCTTAATTCTGGCCCTTGATAACCAGTGTTTGGGGCATATTAGAGCATGGGGGGTCTAGGAACAAAGAAGGGTCTCTAAACCGACAAGTCCGCAACCCTGAACCCTAAACCCATAACTCAAACCTCGTACATGTGCAACAGCACGTGATCCTATGTCAACTCTACACCCCAAGCTCTGCAGCAAAAGCGCTCGAGTCGCTTATATATGGGGCCTTAAAGATGAACAGAGATAGTTTTGGGTATATCATGCTACAACTAGAATAAGGAACTTCAGGATAGTCTTGAAAGCCCCTACGTCACAGTCTTGACTCGAGTCCTTCGCTTGCTTCAAACCCCAAACCAGTTCATAGCAAGCAGTCAGCTGCAACTACGAAAAAGAATGGTCCTCGTCTTGTCTTTCGGGAGCTCGGCACGGAGTCACCAGAGTGTCAGACTGTCGGACCCCAACAGTGTATGGGGCCTGACGAAAGAGTATGGTTCTCGGCTCCTTACAAAATAAAGAAATACATATATGTATATATATATATATATGTATGTATATGCATATATATATATATATATATATATATATATAATACATATACATATAAAGATATATACACACATATATATATATATATATATATATATATGTATACGATATAAACACATGTTTGGATATGTCTTTGTTTAATAAGCAAGCCTAAAAGAAAACATGTATGTACACACATGTATATATATATATATATACAAGTAATTTAATGTACACATATGTGGATGTGTCTTTGTTTACTAAGGAACCCTCAAGAATGACATGGGTAATCATGTATATAGACCCCAACGCCCTACTCGTTGCTTGCCTCTACCCTACGCCCTAAACCTTGAATAACCTACATTTTTCGTGTTCCCGAATGTCTTCCTTAATATAAATCCTTAAGAAGGTAGGTTATTTGGGGGGTAAGGTAAGCCCCTAAACCCTAAACCCTAAGCCCTAAAGCCCCAAGCCCTGCCTTCAGCGGCTGTGATTCCGACGCAGCTGGCGACATCATCTCGCTCGTCGGGCTGCGGGGGGAGTTGAAGTCCTTCCTTCGCGAAGGGCTGACTTTAGAGGGTGGGGTGTTTAGGATTTTGGGCTTAAGGCTTAAGGGATTTGGGGTTTGGGGCTTAGGGGATTTGGGATTTTGGGCTTAGGGCTTAGGGGACTTGGGATTTTGGGCTTAGTGTCTAGGGGATTTAGGATATTGGGCTTCGGGTTGAGGGAATCTGGGCTGTAGGGTCTAGAGATTTCGGGAATTCGGGACACAAGAACCTGCAGTTAATCAGAAAGGAATCCCGACATTGTGCCTCCTGAAGGAAAGATCCGTAGTGACCCTGGTTAGAGTTTCATAAGGCTTTGGGTCCAAGAAATTGGGGAGTTTGATTTCGGTGAATAGTGCCCACTCTAGGGCAGCTACAACTCTATTACTCGTAGCCGTTGCCGCATATCCCGCGTACCCAGTTGCCATGCATTCCTGATTTCGGCGCCTTGCCTGGGGACTTGCCCGAAACCATCTTGTGGCAGTGAGAGCACGACACCCTGTAGGCTGGATTGGTCTGGCCACAGAAGCAGGTCCAGCATCCGGAAGCCCTCAAAGACGCCCCTGGTGATGCCGACGGACTACTCGCGGGGTTATGTTCGCCATCGGCCAGAGCGCGCAATTCTTCCATCTCATTAGCATGCATTTTGAAGTCTCCCCCAGAAGGCGCGAGAGACCGTGACCGTAAAGGGCTAGCTCGAGCCGCATTAGACTTAGAGCCATTGTAACAGCCTGTAGTCCTGTAGACCATGTTCGGGCCTTCAGCCCTAAGCCCGAAACTCCAAACCCCGAAGCCCCAAAACCCTCCACAACTGCATGACATGACTCCTCACGTATAGGCTGCATAAGGTATGGTATAGCTCTATCATAGACCCTACACGCCTATATAACCCTTGCCCTCTTATCCCCAACGCCTAGACTCCAAAACCCTAAAGCCGCAAACGTGGCAGGTCGTAATGGCCACAAGAAACCCTTGTTGTAGGGCCTAAATACTGAGGCAAGGTTTTTGGGCAGACCCTAAACCCTAAACCCTAAACCCTAAACCCTGAACCCTAAACTCTAAAACCCTAAAACTCTAAAGCCCTAAACCCTAAACAGTGGAAAGCATCTCAGGGAGCCCTACATGTCATGACCAGGCCCTCCCTTACACCCTATAGCATCACTTGCTTTCCCAAACAAAGGGTCCAAAGTACCTTTATAGTAGAATGTAGAGTTTCTATAATAGGAATTACCATTATGATTTGGGGAAGTATCCCCCATAACAGTACATAGGACCCTTTGGGTTTGCAGAAGCCCTTACAACAGTTTACGAAACCCTTACCAAACTCTAGAAACGAGGACCTAAATCCTAAATCCCACACGACCAAATCATGCCATTATAGCACCCTAAGGGTTCATGTACCCCAATAGTATAGCCTTCGGCCTGGAATTACTCCCTACCCAGAAAGCCCAATACCCCTTAATTAAGGAATATAGCTTACATCTTAATATGAAGCCCTGTATAATTCAAGCCATAGTCCTTAATTAAGGGGTATTGGGCTCTCTGGGTATATATAATATAGGTACATTGCGCCCAAACTATACATGGACCCTTAAACCCTAAACCCTAATACCACCAGTACCCTTATGGAACCCTTAAAGGAACTCTATCTGGGTACAGAGGACCCTTACAAGGGAAGTCTCGAGTTGCTTTCATAATGCGGGCGAAGGCTCGTGTGGCTTCTGGGACTGCTCCGTCCGGCAGAGCACTCCACGTGCTCCAAGTACTCCTCCTGAGACGGTTTAGAGTTTAGGGGTTTAGGGTTTAGGGGTTGAGGAGTTCAGGGTTTAGGGAAGGGGGGCTGACAGGTTGAACTCATAGCCAGACCCCCCGAAAAGATCCAACAAGTAGATCCCTTCATGGGGGTTCCTATGAAGTACCTTTAGTAGTATAGGGCCCCAATTAGGGGATCTACTTTCTAGATCCTCCCGGGGGTCTGGGTATGGGCGTTGGTCTAGGGTTTGGGACGTAAGGTTCCGGCTTTAGGGCTTTCGGGTTTACGTTTTTTATAGGATTATAAGATTTAAGCGTTAGGACTTGGGGTCTGGGTCACTAAACCCTAAGGGGAAAAGGAGGGTCCCTTAATGGGGAGCCATACCCTATAATGGGCTATATAATGGGTATATAATAGCTATATTAAGGGTATATACCTAGGGGTCCTTATTAAGGGTCCCTTCTTTTACCCTTGGATAAACCCTAAACCCTAAACCGTCAGCTTCACACACAGACACACAAACACACACACACACACACACACACACACACACAAACACACACACACACACACACACACACAACACACACAACACACAACACACACAACACACAACACACAACACACAACACACAACACACAACACACACACAACACACAACACACAACACACAACACACAACACACAACACACAAACACACACTGACTGGTGCATGTGACCTTCACTCAGATGTGGCTTCGAGCTGACGACCCCTAGACCCTGCTGGAGAAGTACAGGACTGCAAACCATTACAGGGCCACGCCGAACCCTTCACTTAAAACACCACCCAAAAAAAACATTAACATAATCTTACGTGAAAAGCAACCTTCAACATCCCTTCAAGTAACCTGTCAAGCCTATCTCTATACACCTGTGGTGATGATGATGACGATGATGCTGATACATGATGCGCTCAGTTCGTTACATTAGGGTTTCTCTTGCGGTCCCTCAAAGTAGCAAGGCACCCTTAAAAACAGGACCCTAACAGGGAGCCTACTTTAGGGACCCCAAAAAACCCTAAACCGATACGATTACCAGCACCTACCTGGACCCAGGTTTGAAAACTGCCCATGCTAAAAATCACATCCCCAGACCCCCGGTTCCTATAAAGTACCCGTAGTAGTATAGGCCCCCAAATTAGGGGATCTACTTCAAGACCCAATGAAGACCTAAGTCTTAGAGGCTTCTGGCCGGGATCCCTGAGGCTCAGAGAGCTTTAGAGCTCCTAGCACCTCTTAGGATTTCAATTTTTTCCGGGAATGCTCAAGATTTTGAGATTTTTCCGGTAATGTTCACTCTCAGCGGGTATATTTTGGGCTACAAGTATGGTTCAGGGCTCTATGGATCTCGCAGGATGTAGGCTCAGAGCTCAGGGTCAAGGTTTCGGGTTGAGGGCACCGGTAGGCATCAGCTTAAGATTTTTGGAAACATCGCGCCTCGCCATCGAAAACGATGCTGTCGCACAGCCTTGGGCTTTAGGGTTCAAGGGCTTGCAGCATCAAAGGAGAGGGTGTCGCTTGCGCAGAACCCAAAACCTTTCTTATTCCTTCAGATGAGATGTCTACCTCAACCCTCAACCCTAAACCCTATACCCTAAACCCTACACAAACTATGATAGAGGGGGCAGGGACCCTTGATATGATTGCCTTATTAATTAGAATAGGGCTGAAGTTATAATAAGGAAAACCAAAATAGTATTGGTAATTCTTATTGAGGCCCCTTTATTATCTTCCCTGCTTGGAAGGGCAGATTTCCAAATATGAACGGCCAGACAAACAGAGAATAAATAAGCCCCAGTGCAGAACGATACAAAAGTAGGAGTTCTGAGGATACTGTTAACGTTCGGGAGGAGCGGCTCAGGCTGAACAAGACCTCAATGATCCCTAAAGTGGAGCCTCAACGGCGGTTCCAGCTTTGGGAACTTGCTAGAGTTCACATCAATCGTCTCTGTGCAGGTCCTAGTCGTGTTGTGGTGGAGTGGAAGGGCAGACAGTGGACGCAGTGGACCTGCAAGATCTACACTTTACTCATCTGGGAAACTGGACAATGTTGTCCTTCTACTACTTCATTCAGAAGGTTATAAAACGATGTATAAAACTTCAATTGTCCTCGACTCGAGGCTATATATCGAATATAGAGGTCGGAAGAAGCGGTATGAGTTACACTTTGCTAACAGTCTGTATATAAGAATGCTCATCCAGGCCCCTGAGTGCCGAAGATGCACCCTGAACCCCATGTAAATTGGCGGGTGCTTGTTGGTAAGGGCTCAGGGTTCATGTGCCTGCTACCTTTTGTAGTGCTATATTTCCACAGAAATTTCCGGGATGCATGTACAACTCTAGTATATAATGTAGGAACCTGATTAAGAAACCTTGGGCTTTTACCAGGGTTCCCTATATGAATCCCTCCATCCTGGGGGCCATTGGCCCAGGGTTTCTGAATCAGGTTCCTACATTGCCGTTACCCTAAACCCCTATGGATCCCTTATAGAACCCCTTTAGGGATCCCTTATAGAGCCCGGTTGCCGGGGTTTCAAGGCTCCATTTCCCCAGGGTCAAAGGACCCAATAATTGGGTACTCGGTTTTAGGATAGTAGCTATGTAGGTTAGGATTTTGGAGAGTATATGAGCGTTGGGTACTTGGACCCTGGGGTTTCGCAGCCAGTACCAATCAAAGCCAGAAGGCGTAACAGTGCGCAATGCAGCCATGCTGGTTCGGTTCTTGCCTGAGACATTCGCATGTGGCTGAAATTATTGTTCCGAGGGAAGGGGTCGGTGCATTATCCAGGGATACTTCCTCCCTTTCAGGCTGCATCTTCTCGGTTTCTTCAGTTGTTGAGATACCATACACAATAGGGACCTGAATAATTGCCAATACTGTCTTTGGGATTCGTAATTAAAGTATCATATACCCCAATTCATGTTCTAATGATTGAGGTGCCTGTACTACTTCAGGTCCAGGTGTTGAGGGAATTTTGGCGACACTGGGAGAGTTAGCTGCAAACCGGCACGGAGTTCGGATTCTAAGCTGCAGGTTTATGGTTTAGGCTTTTAAGGTTCAGGGGTTTGTGGCTTCAGGGTTTAAATTTTGTATGCAGGGATCGAGCGCTTGACTGTATAGGAGCCGAGAGCAATCTGAATGGTGTAGGGTGTAGGCATTAGTCATACCCAGACCCCCGGGAGGATCCAACAAGTAGATCCCTTAATGGGGGTTCCTATAAAGTACCAATTAGGGGATCTACTTTCTAGATCCTCCCGGGGGTCTGGGTAAGGGCCGAGGATTGCGGATTTAGATTTACAGTGCAGTGAAGATTTTCTACGGCTTCTATCAAGGCGTTGAAAGGGCCAGGTCTCAGGGCTCCAGAGGCATAAGGCTTTAGGACTCAGGGCTCAAGGTTTGCAAGGCTTAGGCTTAGGCCAGGGGTCCAGAGCTTATGCGCTATGTGCATAGAAGCCCTAACTGAAGGGAAGGTGTCAAGCTTAGCAGCTCAGCGACAAGACGATGACTGAGAAGATCGTAAAGCCTAGACCCTAAACCGTGTTACATAGTTTCTTGAACAACAAGACATTAATAGAATTCTGGCACACCCTGGGACTAAATCCCAGAACCTGTACATGGAGGTTCATGAGCAGTTATAAGTGAGGTTATAAGTAAGGGAACTATAGTTATAACCCATGTTAGGGGACTTATAACCCCACTTATACCTACCCCAAACCCTAAAGACCTAAGTCCTAAACCCTAATGGATCACTTTAAAGGGACCCCTTAAAGGAACCCTCATAACTACCCATGAACCTCCAAGTAAGCTAACATCAAAAACCCGCAATGCCTATGCCGGGGTTTCTTACGGCTTTACATCGCGATATTTAGGGTTTAGGGGTTGAGGGTTTAGGGGTTTAGGATTTAGGGCTTCATCGTGATATTTCCGAAAATTAGGGGTATTTTATTGGGGGTCCTTATAATAAGGATCCTACTATTTAGGGTGCTATTTGCGGAAACTCCCGTTTAGGCTCTAATGCAGGGCAGCCGGGTGGTCTAGGTAATTGAAGGACCTTTGTAAACGAGGTGCGGTTGAGGGGTACTTTGCAGCGTCGTGTATGGCCATGATCATGTGTGCAAGGGGCCTATTACCACCAGTTAAGATTCGTGGGCAACCCTAACCCCAAACGTTGAACAGAGATATAAAATAACTCTCCAGCCCTAATGCCGGAAACAAGCTTTGAACACTAGGAGCTCTGAACTTAGAAATTTACTGAACCCGTCATCTTTCAAGGCATGCTAATGAAAGGCTGAGGCCCGCTGCTGCTCTTTCGGCCCCGTCGCCGGCGTGTGGTGCTCTTCTCCTAGATTAGGCTTCGGGGTCTGTGGCTTTACTGGAGGGTGAAATTTGGCGGACCCAGAGTGAACCCTAGAAAGTTCGAAGCCATATATAAGAACACCCCCCAGTTTCGATCCCTCATATGTATATACTAAACCCAACCCAAACCGTAGACCCGAAACCACGGAGCCAAAACCCACCCCAAAGTCTGGATTAACCTACTCTAGACCCCTGATTGACAAACCCTCCTACATTAAAAGCGATGTTTATGGGCATCCTTATATCAAGGCCCCTGAAAAAATGATGCTTACTCATCAAAGGGCTACTCTCAGCCTAAACTATAAACCCTGAACCCTGACCCTTCCACCTTAAAGCCAGGCCCTGATGCTAGTAACCCTATCCTTAAACCCGGAGCCCCTACCCCCCTACCTTAACCCAAATAAGCTACCTTTTAAGGACTTATATAAGGAAATCATAAGAAGGAGCCCGAAAAAGGTAGTTTATTTGGGGTCCAGGTAAACCCTGAACCCATAATCTACTAGAGCCCTTTAGGGTTTAGGGTTTGGGGTTTAGGGTTCAGGGTTTGGGATTTAGGGTTTAGGGTTTGGGGTTTAGGGTTCAGGGTTTAGGATTAAGCTTCGAGAACCCTGGGTCCTGCAGCTCCATTTCCTCATCATCCTCCTGCATCAGCTCCTTCGGTAGCGAGCTTGGGTGAAACCATGGGGGTGGGGGGGGGGGGGGCGTATTGATTATGGTATCGGGTTTTGGGGTGTTGGGTTTAGGGTTTGAGGGTCTTTAAGAGCCTAGGGGTTGGAGCTTAAGGCGTACTGGGCTTTGGGCTTCTTATGGTCTAAGTATAGCGGGACTGCAAGGGGATATCATTGCTGGATTATTATTGCGACTGCTATGTTGCCCCACCGACATTCTTTTCCACGTCGTTCCGTGTTTGGGCCGGCTAAGCCTCCGTAATCAGGAGACAGCACTAAACCCGCAAACCATGAATCCCTCAAACCATGAACCCCCGATATACCTGAAATCCCTTACCCGAAACCCCTGAACCCTTATACAGGGTCACGCGCCCCCCCTCCCCCCCAAAAAAAGTTTAATGGTCCGGATATAGGGTGGGGCACCCCCCTCCCCTGTGGTGTGGGGTGCGGGGTTCCTCTTCCCCCTGTGGGGTGGTTGTGGGGCTTTGGGGTTTAGGTTTAGCTTAATTTGGCCCCACCATCCAGTGGCAGCTCCAACGGCCCCCAACCCCTTTCCGCACACGCCAGGCCCCGCCCCCCTCCCCACCCCTGTCAGACCATACCATTGGGGGGGGGGGGGGGGGGGCTGGGAACGCCAGACGCCTGACCATATTATATAACCCAAAACCCCTAAACCCCTAAACTTCTAAACCCTGAACTAAAAGCAGTAACTGGAACGGAGAGTTTAGGGCTTAGCGTTTAGGGTCTAGGGTGTGGGGTTTGGGTGTAAGGTTTGAGGTTCAGGGTTCAGGGTTCAGTTTAAATTAGAGACTATAAGGTTTACCTTAAGCCGGAATAACCTACCTTTTTAAGGACTTATATAAGGAAATCATCGTAAGGAGCCCTAAAAACGTAGGTTATTCCGGCTTAAGGTTTAGGGATTGGGTGATTTGGGTTGAGTCCCCTAAACCCTAAACCCTAAACCCTTAAACCGATTGAGGGTTGGAGGATGACGGTTTAAGGACCTGCTAAGTCGCCGGGATCTTTGCAGTGCATCCGGAAATCTTTAGGGTTTAGGGTTTAGGGTCTTACCCCTAAATCATAAACCCAAACCCCTACAGTAGAAGCCAGAAAGTTGGAACATCAGTAGCCTCTTGCCCTTAAAGTAAAGGGAATCCCAGCATTAATCATCCTAAATTCATGTTCCAACTTTCTGGGGTTCACTATAACCCTTAACTGTATAATCAATTTAAATCCTGTTCTCGCCCTCATGCTCAAGAGGAGTGACACCTCGACGAGGGCATCTCGTGTGAAGACGTCGAGGTAGCCAACCTGCGCAGGCTTGTTATGAGCGTCAGGGTTGCCCAGAGCCTCCAAAACCCCTGAATTAAGGAATATTCCTAAGGACCCCTGATATGATTTAAGGTATGTTCCTTAATTAAGGGGTTTTGGAGTCTCTGGTTGAAAGCCTATGGTCTACGCTGTTCCTAGGGCTGTACCTGGACCCCAAATGTATATGTAACAATAGCTGTTTTGGGGTCTTGGGCCATTATGTCACCTACTTTTGGGGGGGTTTAGGTAGGGCTTTACCCCAAGGGTCCAAGTATCTAATAATCATATACTCTCCAGTCCTAACCTAAATAACAACTATCCTAAAACCGAGTACCTAATTATTGGGTCATTTGCACCCTTGGGGTTATGGGCGGGGGAAGGGTCCAAAGTGCCTGGCATTCAAGGCTTCGCCTGGAGCTCCAACGATCTTAAGACCTTTTTCACGATGGGCCAATCCGTTTTTAAGTTTTAGGGTTTAGGGTTTAGTGTTTATCATCATGCTACCGATCAGATCTGCGACATCTGACTTATAAGTATCTCTTGTGAGTCTGCGTTGTGCAGGGTATAGGAATTTAGAGCTTCAGGGCTCCAGGCAAGAAGCTTTAATGCCAGGGCTTGCAACTTGGCCTTACCACTTGAGGTCATGTATGAGGTCTTGTTTCAGAACAACTTAACAATTACTAAGGCCCACGTATGAAGCCCTAATGTAAAGAGCCCAAACCCACGAGCCTTGCAATCTCAAACCCTGCAAAGCCCAGAGTCCCAACACCATACATCCTTACTATAACCTACTTGTCGGGTATCCTGGGGAACTACAGTAAAGGTTAACCTTTTTTGGTTATATAGGGATTATATAGGGACTATACTACCCAAGACAGGTTAAAGGTTGCCTACTCTACTACTAGGATAACCCGAGCAAGCCCTGTCTTAAAACCCCCAACCAGAACGCAAACCCAACCACCCCCCCCCCCCCCCCCCCCCGGGGCGAGCCGTGCGCAAGCGAACGGGAAGGAGGTCATTGTGGTGTGGTGCGATACTCTGCCGAACCAAATACAACCTCACGCAACCAGGTTTGGGGTTCGGACCCTAGACTCGACTTGGAGGTTCATGGGTACTTACAAGGGCTCCTTTACGGGTACCTTAAAAGAGGTCTATAGGGACTCTAGAAGGGTATAGGGTTTAGGGTCTACTTGGAGGTTCATGGGTAGTTATAATTGGGGCTATAATATGTCCGCTAATATGGCATATAACTGTAGTTACCGTACTCATAACTCCACTTACTACAAGTCCACATGAACCTCCAAGGAGAGCCCGGGAGTTGATTTCTTGCTTAAGTTTACTGCCGGTATAGGAGCTTGACTGGGTGCTTTGCTTCTGCAATGGTGCTGAAGACGGAAGGCTTCCTCGAAGGCCCTTGTCAAGGGTTTCAGCACTTCTGGTTTGGCTTCTTGTCTTTTGTGGCTCTGTTTGCGGATTTGCAGCTCTTTGGTTTCTGGGGCCTTTATAAGAGTTGTGCACAAAAACCTTATTAAAAAAAAGCACACACTCCATCACTAAACAGAGGACGGTTTAGGGTTTAGGGTTTCGGGACCTTAAGGAATTTCAGGTCCTCATGATTAGTAGCCTTTGGTGCTCAACATGGCCTAGCAAGCACTCAACCCACACCCAAAGGGTTTAGGGTTTAGGGTTTTTAGGGTTTAGGGTTTTTAGGGTTTAGGGTTTTTAGGGTTTAGGGTTTTTAGGGTTTAGGGTTTAGGGTTTTTAGGGTTTAGGGTCTTTAGGGTTTAGGGTTTAGGGTTTTTAGGGTTTAAGGTGTTTGGGGTTTAGGGTTTAGGGTTTTTAGGGTTTAGGGTTTAAGGTTTTTAAGGTTTAGGGTTTTTAGGGTTTAGGGCTGTTAGGGTTTAGGCTTTTTGGGGTTTAGGGTTTAGGGTTTGGGGTTCTTAGGGTTTAGGGTTTAAGGTTTTTAGGGATTAGGGTTTATGGCTTTTAGGGTTTAGGGTTTAGGGTTTTTAGGGTTTAGGGTTTGTAGGGTTTAGGGTTTTTAGGGTTTAGGGTTTGTAGGGTTTAGGGTTTTTAGGGTTTAGGGTTTGGGGTTTAGGGTTTGGGGTTTAGGATTTAGAGTTTGGGATTTAGGGTCCCCAAATCATAATAGTAATTCCTAATTTAGAAACCATACATTCTACTATAAAGGTACTTTGAACCCTTTGGGACACTCCCTCACCGATGTTTGCATTCTCTGTTTGCGCAACAGCGACGACCCGCCGGGTAGGTCCATCCAAACTTCCACTTGGCTAGCCCTAAGGCCCATGTACCCAAATAGTATATACTTTAGGCCCAAAGTATCTATATAGGGACTACATTTAAAGCCAAAGCATATACTACCTGGGCACATGGACCCTCAGGGTAGTAGGCGGAATCTTGCCTTCTGTATCAAGGGTCCCTCCTTTTACCCTTGGAGCCTTTGAACCCTAAACCCCTTAAATCCGAAACCCTGAACCCCTGCAGCCGCGGAGCCAGATCGCGTGCAAGAAGAAGATTGGTGTGGAAAGGACGCGCGAGACGATGCGGCCTGATCCAGCTCCGGTTTAGGGTTGCTATACTGAACTTAGAACCCTAGCAAAAATTATGATTTTAGCTGTTTCTTGGGGATTGTAATTACAAAAGATCAAAAATTATTTCTAAGTACCCCTAAGGTTTAGGGTATAGGGCTCCGGGACTCGGTTTAGTTTTTTGCTTTGTGGTGGAGCTCGTTTTTGTTGCTCGGTTTCGGGGTTACTTAGGGATTAGGGGACATGTATTTACTTGGCAGACTTTTAAACCCCTTAAAAGTCAAACTTTTAGCCTCCTTACTATAGTTCATATAGAAACCTAAAAAGTTAAAGTCTAAAGAGCCAACCAGAAGAACGCCAAGTTTAGTTGTGCCCCAAATCCCTTACTCTGAACCTCTTGTAGAGCCAACCTTGAATCCCAAACTCGGCAAAGGCAAGGTTTAGAACTTAGAATACATCACTCCTACTTCTAAACCTTCCCCCCTATCCCCAAAACCCTAAAGCCCTAAACCTAAAGCCGCACCTGTTGGTCTTGTGTCGCTGTATATATGTAGCCCTTCTTGCAGATCGGGCCTGCATTCTCAGCCCTAGAGAAGCAATACCTCGATCCTTATTACTTAGGGGCTGAGTACCCTAGCCCAAAAATGGTTAGCCTTTTGAATTATAGTAGGATTATCTAAGCTCCAAAATGTCTAAAGGTTACCTGCTCAGCCCCGAATTTAAACTCAACACCCCGGTAAAGGCTGAACTCTAAACTCAACGACCGCCCCCCCCCCCCCCCCTGAATCTCCCATAATCTTACTACTCCGATAAGCCACAGAAATAAAACGTTAAGCTTTCCGACCTGCTTCGAGGCCATGTACTTCTTGCCTCTGGACTGAAGAAGCCAGAGTGCGGCACTCAGGCCCTTCTCCTTTTTGCTTTTGCCAGCATGCTCGTCTTTCTCCTCCTGGGTGGCCGCCGTCTTCAAGTAGGTCTGGTGTTTCCCCAAAGCGCTTTGGGCCTCGTGTGCTGACAAGGAGTCCTTCAGCAGCTGGGCTTGCACAACCGGGTCGTCGCTGGCCTGGGCAGCCGCCTCTACCTTTGCCTTGAGGCAGTCCTACTAAAGCTACAACAAACCAAAAAGTCTAAAGGTTGGGTGTTGGGGATCTAAGTAATTGTTCCCCCCCATGTAAGCCTCAAGCCTCAAAACCCTAAACCCTAAACCCTAAACCCCTAAACCCCTAAACCCTAAACCCTAAACCCCTAAACCCTAAACCCTAAACACGAAACCCAGAAGCATGTGTAGGTATGGGGGCCTTATTTATCAGAGCAAGGTTCCTTTACGGGTTGTGTAACTCCAAGGGTAAAAGGAGGGACCCTTAACAAGGACCCCTAGGTATTACCCTTCATATAGCTATTCTATAGCCCATTACATAGCCTAGAAAAGGGTAGGGGTCCCCATTAAGGGCCCCTCCTTTTCCCTTTTGACAGTCCTTCGCACCCGTGGCCTGAAACAAATAACGAAATATGGGAGTTTCCGAAAATTAGGGGTGCCTTGTTTTGGGGTCCTTGTAATAAGGATCCTAGTATTTAGGGTGCTACATTATTAGGGTCCCCTATTTTCGGAAGCCCCCATATAGCTAGAATGAGTGTTGGAGTATGTAGTTACTGTACGGAACCGTGAGGAATGGTCAGATACGGTTTCGGGTTCGGGGTTCCCATAACACAAAACTGGCCCAACAGCCAAGATCTTGTTTTTGCGTCGACGGCTATCAGCCCCAACGCAAGAAAAGCTACGAATCCCAAATGCCTAATTACAGGGTATACTTCATGTAGGTTTAGAGTTTAGTGCGCGAAAAGGTTGAGGGAACTCAACTGTCTGCACCCTGCCTTGGACATCTTGAACCACAAAACTTACATCCGTCCTTGAAGAACATCGGCCGCTAACCACCACGCTCCAGCCAGTGAAGATTGCTCAAATCCAAGGGTAAAAGCAGGGACCCTTAACAAGGACCCCTAGGCATATATGCCTGAATATAGCTATTATATACCCATTATCCAGCCCATTATGGGTAGGGGTACTTATTAAGGGTCCCTCCTTGTCCCCTTTGAAAACAGCTTGGACTGTGGGGTTCGAGGCTATTGGCTTAGGATTTGGTTGTTTTTTGCCTTTTCCCCTCGCTACAGCGTCTGCGTTTCAGTTTCGGGGAAGTCCCCCGAAAGGTCTAGCAACCCTAAACCCTGAACCCTCCCTGGTTGCCTTGATGGTCCAAGTCCCCGGTCGTCGGGTCGGAAAAGAAGTAATGGGCGATCCAGAGGATGACCACCAACAACACAGGCGGCAGCCTAAGTTGAGGATTAGTTTGTGTGGGGTCTGATTTTTGACATGAAGGAACAGCTGAAGCCCTGAGGCATTCATCGGAGATGCCCAGAAGCTACTTGAAAGTGATTGCTCTTCGCCAATTGTTCTTGGAACAAGGTTCCATGGCGTGTCTCTCCTGAATGTGCCCACCTACCTATCATTTCGGACTCCGTTTGACATGTAGATCAACGAGAGGGCATCTGTCCTGCGGCATGACATGCAGCCGTCAGTTGGCCGTCCTTCCGCTCATTAGTTTTGCCTGTCTTCTTTCTGGATTCCGACATCTCTGATTAGTGGACAAGACAAAGGATTACATGGGCCGGAACCTAGCGGTAGAGGATGAAACCAACCCATCATTCTCACCGGATGCCATCCCGTGTTGCTCACAACTTAAACCATAAACCGAAGATATCATACCTACACTCTTGTAGCATAATACCCCCGCTAAACCCTAAACCAGAACACTAAACCCCGAACCCTAAGCCCTAACTACCAATATCGGAATCCGATTAAGAAACCTTGCATCGGTCTCCTGTGTTAGCGCATTAAGATATGAATCCTCATATAGTTTGGAGCTATTGGGCCAGTTTTCATGAAGCAGCTTCCTGCACGACTCTTTAAGCTAGGGTGAAACGTTCGGTGCTTGATTTCGATCCCTTTATTTATTTTTTTTGATTCGTCGGACCCTCTAAATGTCTACCAGCTCCAGCAAAAAATACAGGTACCTAAACGATGCTCCAAGCCTTAACTTAAACTCCCTACAGCCTGAACTGCAAACTCGAAGCCTCAAGCCCTAACCGGCTACCAAATCCCACTAACCGTAAGACTCCAAATAGCCCAAAGTAGGTAGCAATTATAGACTTTAGACCCCAACGTAGGTACTATTTGTATGCTTGGAGTCTTAGGGTAAGAGGAGCTCGAACCCCCCAAACCCTTAAACTCTAAAGCTCCGCAAGGCGCCATCGCTCTCTACCCCAAACCCTACTTGGAGGTTCATGGGCAGTTTTAAGTGGGGTCATAAGTAGGATAACTATAGTTATAACTTAGTCTTAACCCATATTAAGGGACGTTGAAGTGGGGTTACAAGTAGGATAACTATAGTCATAACTTAAGTGATAACCCAGATTAAGGGACTTACAACCCCACTTATAACTCCCCATGAACATCCAAGTAAACATCTCTAGTCTCGGACTCAGGACACAAGAACCTCAAGCCCCAAAAGCCCTAAACCCCATGGAGCCTAGCAAAGGCCTGAGGTTTAGGGTTTCGGGTGTAGGGGGCCTGAAGCCCTAAGAAAACCTAGAACCCTCAAGCCTAAACTTTAAACTCCCAAAGCCGTAAAGCCCAAAGACGAGGGAGTCGATCTGAGGTTGTATGAAAGCTATATTTTAGAAGCTGCCCCCACTCTGTAATAGTGACTATAAGGCTACTATAAGGATTATATTTGGGCCCTATTATATTCCTATAATACCACTATTACAGGGTGGGGGCAGCTTCTAAGCTATATTCCTTAAGTCATCGCCGAAGTTCCTACTAGTGAGACTCTACACTACCAACTCTACACTAGTAACCCAAAGGCCCTGACTAACAAGAGTCCCTGAGTCCAGTGCCCTGAAGCCCAAAACCACCAAACCAACCCCTAAACACCAAAACATACGGTTGATGATATAAATCCTGCATGACCCATAATAAGGAACATACCATAATTATCATAGTGTAGGGTCCTTATAGTAATGCAGGGTGCATATCATCAACCGCATCAAGCCTTAAACAATCTTCGGCCCTTAAAGCCCCGAAACGTAAATCCCCAATGCCCTAAACCACTCAACAAAAAAACAAAAAGGAGTCCTAAACCCAACAAAAATGACTCAAAAGGAATCGAGGCGCAGGTAGGTGATGCAGATGAAAACAAACTCCGACCCTTCCAAGCCTGGGGGTGGCTTGTTTTGTTTAGGGTTTAGCATTTTTTGGGGGGTTTAGGGGGGTGTAGGATATAGGATTTAAGGCTTAGGGCTTAAACCCTAAACCCTAAACCCTACACGCTACGGTCCTATCAGTTGGTCTTGTTTTCACAGCTGGCTTTGTAGGTTCCTCTAGGCTCTTCTGTAGCCCCCTGGTATTAAAGGTACTTCTATTTCCTGTTTCTTGGCTTACTATTTGGTGTAAGTAAGGGGCTAAGGGAAGACAAAACAAAACAAGAGCAGTAATGTAGAGGCCTTAATAATTAGCATATGGTTTTGGGGGCATAGTATACTATAATCATAATAAGGAGCCGCCAAGAATAGTATTGGTAAAGATCTACGCCTCCATATTAGGTTATTAGGCTACTACCGAGGAACCTGATCCTTCAGCGCTCCTTTAAGAGGCTCCTCAAAAGGTTTTCCGTAAGCCTTCCATCTTATCATTTGTCTTTTTCATCGGGCTCCTTTAAGCAATCCTGTACCCTGAACCCTAACTGGTTTCTGAATAGCCCCTTTATGATGAGGGTACCCTTTTCCTACTATTTTGTCTTACTAAGGAGACCCCACAACATAAAGGGCACAAAAAGGATATAGCTCAGGAAACTAGCCAAACCCTAAGCCATTTAAGGGTTTCCTCTCAAGGCTCCTTTCAGGGCTCCTTGACTGGCCCGGCTCCGTTAGGACTTAATGTCTCGGTACCCTTTAAAGGGGTCTCATCCTCCCCATTCAGAGGTAACATAGGGGCCTTAGAGACTAGAATAGGGTTCGGGGGCCCATGATACTATAATTATAGTAAGAGACCCCCCCAAATAGTATTGGTAACGATTTAGGCCCCTATGTTAGCTCGGGCTGAAATAAAGGTTGTTGGCGACAGCTGGTGCCTGGGTAACACCATACCCCAAACTTTCAAACGCTCAGCCCGATGTCTCGAACCGTAAATCCTAACCCTGTTAGGCAAGGACAAGGGCAGTTCCGGAGCATCTGCCAGGTGAGTGCGCGAAAGCAACTGCACAAAACGTGAGAAAACCGCCGAGTTTTCTTGCGCTAGCCATCAGAAGATTTGAGAGCCCCTAAACCCGAAATCCTAAACCGAAGTTTAAGGTCTGCCTCTAGCTTCAATTTCTACAAGATGCCATTTTGACCTCCTGTTTGCATCGTTTATGGGACCCTTCTCAGAGACTTCCACAAAAGCCATACTGAACCTACATCCCTCCGGCTAGAGTCGCTAAAGGAACCCCTTAAAGGAACGCCCAGAGGAAACTTTTGAGGAACCCCTTACAGGCGCCCTCCACACAAATCCCTCGAAAAACCGTTTAAGGAGCACTTAAAAGAACTCTTTAAAGGAGCCCTTAACAGAAGCCCTAAAGGAACCCTTAGAAACCCCTTTAAGGAACCCTAAAAGGAGCCTTGTGAAGGCTGCCGCCCAGGGGCTGCTTACGTCTTTCCGCTTGTTCGGCTTCTCTGACTCATCATCTGAGTTCTCCGTGTCCTTCGGTTGATGATATAAATCCTGCATGACCCATAAAAAGGAATATACCATAATTACCATAGTTTAGGGTCCTTAAGGTAATGCAGGATTTATATCATCAACCGTTGCTCACTGCGCTTGGAGGGGGTAGCTACAAGTTGGAACTGAGTAGGGTAACTACAGTCATAAACTATATGGGGGGGACTTATACCTCTACTGAGAGGCGCTGAGCCCTGAACGTCCAGCCCAACCCTAAACCCTAAACCTTAGACCCAACCTCCCAAAGGGTCCAAAGTACCTTTATAGTAGAATGTAGGGTTTCTATATTTGGAATTACGATGATGATTTGGGGACCCTAAACCCTAAACCCTAAATCCCAAACCCTAAACCCTAAATCCTAAACCCCAAACCCTAAACCGCAAACTCTAATCCCCCATAACAATACTTCGGACGCTTTGGGCCTTTAGCCGGAAAGCCCTATAGAACCCTTATTATGGTGCTGGTAAAGAACCCTTCTAGTACCCTTTTAGAACCCTTCTCGTACCCCTTAAAGGGGATCACGAGAAGAGTCGGGAGCGAGCCGGAAAGCCCAACCCCGACCCGAAAGATCTGCTTCTGGCTCCACTTACCTGTGCTTTGAGGTCACTACTTGGAGGGTCGGGGGACTTACTAAGTAGTTATCTTGTAGAGTTACAAGTACCATAACCCCAATTAGGATCCCTTTTAGGGTACTTAGTCTACTTACTACGCACTTACTAAGTCCCCCGACCCTCCAAGCAGGGTTCCTTTAAGGGGCTCCTTGAAGGGGTACTATAAGGCTACTATACGGGAGTTATGGATGGTGGGGGTTCCTTGTTATACTCTTAGCACAATGGCTAGGATACCCAGTAACCTAAGAATAAAAAGGCCTCTCTTTTTGGTATTGGGTAACTTCATAAGGAACCCAGGACTACAAAAAGGGAATAAGGGTACTACTGGGCATCCTAGATGGGCCCCGAAACCCTATTCTAATGATTAAGGCCCCTATAGTATACCCTATAATCAACGAATCAAGCCCACGGGAGGAAGCAGTGGTGACCTCAGTCGCGAAGGTCTGCAGCGAGATCCTTTATTTCGTTCTGGGCGAGATCTCGGGCTAGATTTGAAGCCAAAGCAATGGCATCTGTCGGGTGCCACTCTGACCAGGGTCTGGGTCGCCCCCTTCCCAGGACACCAAATCCGCTGGTCCCAGCGGCGGCCTTTCTGGTCGGACTTCGCGACCGACACCTTGAGTGGTCGGTGGCCAGCACCAATCAAGGAAACGATATTTCTGGCCTGGCACTGCTGATGTGCAGGGTATGCTTTGCGGCCTCTTTCACACGGTCTGGACACCCTTTTGGGAGGTCCTGTTGCTTTCCTAGCGCCGGGTCTTTGAGTGGTCCAAATTGCCAGTCACGCGGCCAATGCATAAAGGTGTTGCCGGAGGAGCTCAAAAGCATCGAGATTTTCCTGACGTGGAATGCAAAGAATGTGCTAGGGTTGATGGTTGGGCGCTTAGGGTCTCCATGCCACCATCCCGAAAGCCTACTCCCAAAATCTATGTAATGTATGCCCAAGATAAATGGACCGACTTTGTAAGGGCCTTGCCTTAATATTGGGATTCCCATGGTCGCAATCTGCACTATCAGGATCTCTGAAGGGCTTCCAGAGCAAAGGGAGACGCTGAACCCACAAAACCCTAAACCCTAAACCCTTGAAGCCTATACCCTGACACCAAAACTCTCGTTTAATGTTACAGGCCCTGTCGCCTCTTAACGAATACGGCGGAGTTTGGGCCTAGGGTTCTGGCAGCTTTGCAGGGGTTTGCAACGGCTTCGGATCGTTTTCGTTAGAGTTTGGCAGGGGTGTATACGGTCCAAGGTGAAGAGTATACAAGGTGAAGAGTTTAAAGGTAGGCTGAAGGGTTTCATCTGCCAGGGATCCATCGTCCGCCAGTCCAACTTCAGAAGGAAGAAGGCAATGGCCTGAACCAGGAGAGGCAAAACTCGCCAGTTTCTGTTTAGGCGCTGAATAGCCTAGCGCAGAAAGGGTCATATGGTAGGATGGTCTAGGCCCCAAAAGGTTAACGGTTAAAGGTTACCTGCTGAGCCCCTAAATCAGCGTTTTTGTTTCTTTGTGGAACCGTTCCTCTGCCGAAGCGTCCAAACCCCTCAGCCTCGCGTGTCCCACGCGTCCCTTTGTTTGATATGCGTACTGCAAACACCACGAACAACATATGTTGTGTGTCAAAAACCGACTAAGTACCGTTAAGAGATGCTGCCACAACTCGTCATTCAGCTCAAACATTCGGTGCTTTGTGACTTGTCTGCCTGGACATCACAAGGGCGCTCCTCAGTGTCAACATACATGCCCCGTGCATCTGCATTTGCAACGAACCAACACTGATCCCGACATTCAGGACGGCATAACATCGGGGCGGTCATACTTAAAACAGGGTTTTGGGGCCCGCTGTACTAAAATTATGATTAATAAGGAACCCCCAAAACAGTACAGGCAATTGTTTAGGCTCCTATACTATCTTTGTGATGGCCCTGGCGACGCCTCCTGCCGAGGTGTTGATTATGACAAGCTTTGGGGGGGGGGGGGGGTAGGGTTAACGCCTCTAATGCCATACATCATCCGAGTATTTACCTGCACCCTGAGCTTCTTCATTTTCCTCAAACTCCGTCATAGGGACCAGTACACTATAAGTATAATTAGGAACCCTCAAAGTAGTATAGGCAATTATTAAGGCCCCGAAATCAAGGTTACCAGAGCCTAGGGTTTGTTGTGAAAGCCAAGGTCCTGGAATCAGATTTGCTGGCAACCGGGCTCGAAGTCTTTCAGTTACCCTACGGGTCCATGTAACCTTGCAGAGACAGTACATGTTACAGCTAAAATTAAGGTACAGTATTTTGGGGTCTTTATAATAAGGATCCTACTATTTAGGGTACTATATTGGGTCCCCTATTGTCGGAAACTCCCATATAGGAACCCCTTTACAGTAAGGACTAGCTGCAGAGCTCTGGGTGGCACTTGGAAACCTTGGCTTAGGGCTTCGGGCTCAAGTTTAGGGTTTGAGGATCAGAAAAACATCACTTCTCCCTTGGATGCTGCGTTCATAAGCCCCAAGAAGTGTCCCCTTTCATGTTTATAGTGGGTAGTAGTCTCCCAAAAAGTGTAGAGTGTACCCACCCAGCTAAGAGCATCCCTAAACCCTGAACCCTTAAACCCTAAACCCCCAAAACCCTGAAACCCTAAACCCTAAGCTCCAGTTTTCGTTGCCTGAACTCCCATCACGGTGATCAAAGCAAAGCTGGGCCTTGCAGAGGGAAGAACAACATCGGAGGGTTTCTTGAGAAGGTGTTATCGTTTAGGGCTTAGGGTTGTGTATATGGGTTCCGTATCATCTAAGGATTTTGCAAGGATTATATATGTCGAAGGGTTTCTTGGCAAAGGGTATACTATAGGGGCCTTAATAATTAGAATAGGTTTCCTTTAGTGGGTCCTTTAAAGGGGTCTATAGGGGACTTATAGTAAGGTTCTAGATATTAAGGGCCCTAATAATTAGAATAGGGTTTGGGGTACCATTATAATACTATAACTATAATAAGGCGCCCCCCCCCCCCCCCCCCCCCATAATATGGGTTCCTCGAAGGGGTTCTTCTGAAAGAGTATCGCAAGGATTATATGTCTTATGTTTTTAGCTCAGGAGCAAAAGCCAGCGTTTATGGGTTATGCCCGGATTTAACGTCTACGGGTCGGGATGGAGAGGCCGGAGAATAGCTGTGGAAACCTGCGAGTCTAGACCCGAGGTATACCAAACCGACCCTAAACCTTACATTAAAACCTGGACACGGAACCATAGACCCTACCTTAACCCCAAATAGCCTACCTTTTTAAGGACTTATATAAAGAAATCACATTAGGGAACCTTAAAAAGGTAGGTTCTTCAGGGTCCAGGTAAAGCTTAAACCACAACCTTGAAATCAATACCCCCAGCCCTACAGCTCAAGCCCTATGTTATCAAAGGATCACCCGCCAGAGCAGCACCGATTTCCAGCACACCCACCCCAACCCCAAGACCTTAAATGCTAACACACTTGGAAATCTGAATGCGCAAGTCTAAACAACTCGCTTGGGAATCTGGCCAAGAGGGTCCACATATACTACTGTAATGGAAATATAGGGCCCCGAAACCACAATAGAGATGGTCTTGTGGGACCTAGTTCCATAATGGTAGTATATATGGAATCTCTGGGTGGATACATAACTCTAAAGTCGGAGCCTTCAACCGGCGCAAGGGCTTAAACACAAACTTGGAGGAAAAGCTGGAGAGCCGACAGCCCGAAACAATGCTAAACCCTAAACCCTAGGTGCCGAAAGGAAGGCATGGCGTACTTAGGAGAAGGAAGGGCAGGTCCGCAATAAGACGACGAGTGAAACACTTGCACATGTAGCGAGGGGTTTAGGCTGTTAAGGGTTCTTTCAGTGTTCCGTAAACGGGTTCCCTAAAGGGAACTAGAAGGGTTTATTTTCGGAGCCTGATTCAAAAACCTTGGGTCTGTATAGGGGATCTCTATATAGATCCTAATATGTTGGGGTTGTGGGACAAGTAACCAGGGAGACAAAAGTATAAACTTTTATTTCATAATGGCTCCTTTAAGGAACAGGTACACCAAAAAAAGTATTCAAGTATAGTACTCCAAACCCAGGACTATAGATCCCTTCTAGACCCCTTTTAAAGGCAACCCTTTAAAGGAACCCTACAATCGCTAATTTCCAGACCCATTCAAGTATGGTACTCCAAACCCAGGCAAGGGTTTCTGAGGCAGGTTCCTACATCCGGACAAAAAAAGCCCTCGTGTAAGGCGAGTGCAGCCTAAAAGTTTGGCTTTCTGAGTGCTTGGCCTATGTTTCCGGGGTTGCTTGGTTTGGGGTTTAGGGTTGAAGGGTTTAGGGTTTAGGGGTTTAGGGTTTAGGCCAGGCAGGCTGAGTATGTACCTATGTTTCCGGTGTTGCTTGGCATTTGAGGTATGCAGCCGGAGGTTTCAGGACGCAGAGGACTCGGAACTCCAAACACTATTCAGGACGTAAGTTTTTCAACTGGATTTAGTTCGGGTTTCAATTTTTGGATTAAACTATACGGAGTGTACCTGAATTAGTTTTGGCGCGAGGATTGATCTTTTACATATGAAGCATAGGGCTTCATTTGCACGAGGTTGACAGCTCGGCCGCCAGACCCTGAAGAATCCTTATGCAACAAAAAAAGCATTCATCACACAAAAGGCCAGCGAATCCTTGCATAGACTCTATGCAAACCCTTATGGACGCGCTCTACACACCCCTATAGCACCCGAAAGAGCCCCAATAACTTCGAAACATCCTAAGCAACCGCCTAAACAAATGTTAGAGAACCCTTCGAACACCCAAGAAGCCTTCAAGAACCAACGGTATGAGCCCTACAGAGCTACAAGCATCCTCGAGTCCTGAAGAATGGCCCAAACAAACACCGAACAACCCATGGGTAGGGTCCCTATTTAGGACCCCAAACTAGTACGGCACCCTCATAGCACAAGGACTCCAATAGACCGTAGTTTAGTAAGCCATCCCTGTATGGAAACCCTGTAATACCCAAGGGCGCCTATGCTTTTGCACGGGCCCGGCGATGAAGTAGGACATGGACTGTAACATCTGATTGATGCCCAGAGCCATGGCGACCTGATAGGGATTTATGTGCAATTTACTGGGCTTTTGTTTATGTGTTAGAATGGTTTATACAGCTTTATACGCGCTATAAAGTGGTTTTATACGGTTCTCATTGTTCTTAATGGTTGCACAACTTTGTCTGGAGGTTCCCTCTTGATTCCGTTGTAAAAATGCTTTTTGGAAAACAACAGGGACATTCAGAGGAATTCGATGGAATTCGAACCCAGAGCGAGCCCCGGATACTTCTGAACAGCTGGCCAAGATTTTCAGCATCACAGCTGCAAACTTTAGGGCTGTACGGATTCAGTGCTGTGCCGACTATACTTTGGGACTTGAAACATCACGAATAAGCAGCAAAACCACACCCTGCATTGCCGCAAATACACAAAACCACCTGATCATCTAATGTAGAGGCCTTCATAATTAGAATAGGTGTTGGGGGTATACTGTACTATATTTAAAAAAGGAACCCGAATAAAACCTATTCTGATTAATAAGGCGCCTACATTAAAGCATGCCAGAGCCACTCGAGAATAGGCATCGAAACGCAGCCACGCCCGATGGTGCTCCGCGAACTTGGCACGATGCTCCTTGGTGATGTTGAAATGAAAATAAGGACGTAATTCGGATTCTATAAACTCTTGGTGATGTTGAGATGAAAATAAGGACGTAATTCGGATTCTATAGACTCTTGGTGATGTTGAGATGGAAAGAAGGACATAATTCGGGTTCCTACATACTACCTTGACCTCAAATAACCTACCTTTTTAAGGACTTACATAAAGAAATCACATTAAGGAACCTTAAAAGGGGTAGGTTCTTCAGGGTCCAGGTAAACTCTGAACTTATAAACCCCCTTATAATGAAGCCCAATAAGGTAGGGATATCCCTATAAAAGGCTTATGCTTATGTGCTTTTTGGGGTCCCTAAATACTTCGGATTCCTACCTACTGAACTCTGAACTTATCGGCCTCCGTGGCCTGGCAGAATCATAGGGATCCTTAGGGGTGTAGGGGACTATATTTCCTTAAATAGGCCTTATTAGTCCTTATTATGGGCCTTAAGGCCCCCTACCCCCCCTCCCCCTACACCCCTAAGGATCCCTATGACAGAACGTGGCACGTAGAAGATTCGCAAATCCCCAGCTACTGAAGCAGCACTTGCTGCCATTTCCAAAGGGTCCAAAGTACCTTTATAGTAGAATGTAGGGTTTCTAGTATAGGAACCCCCAAATTAGGGGATCGACTTTCTCGATCCTGCCGGGGGTCTGGGTAGCCAAGAAGGCGAGCATCGTGCTTGATCAGGCATTCAGGCCCGCATAGTACTGAATAGTAACCCATATACCCCGGGGTCTGGGCAGTAACGCTTATGGTAACCCTAAAAGTAACCTTTTAAGACCCGCTTTAAAGGAAACCCCCAAACTAGTCTAGGTAGTGATTAAGGCGAGCATCGTGCTTGATCAAGTCATTCTTGATCCTCGGCATCTTGTTGTCCTCGAAAGTCGCCAGAGCCTGCGGTTTCGGGTTTAGGGTTTTGCCTTCATTTTGATGTGATCACATTAATCATTTTCTATGCTCCTTTAAAGGGTTCCCGTAAGGATTCTTATAGGGGATCTATAAGGGTTTCGGGGGTTTAGGGGGCTTAGGGAATCTTACGGATTCCTAGTCAGGTCCGCATGCTATAGGGCCTCTATGATTGTTTAAGGTTCCTTTCAAAGGTTCTTTTAAAAGGGGTTTGTAAGGGTTACTATAAGAGTACTATAACATAGGGGCCTTCATAATTACCCGTGCTATCTTGGGGGGTCCTGAGTACAATTACAGTATAGTGGGCCCCCAGACCTTATTCGAATTATTAAGACTACTGTGGCGGGTTAGAGGCTACCTTAAGCCGGAATAACCTACCTGTTTAGGGTTCCTTACTATGATTTCCTTATATAAGTTAAAATTAGGTTATTCCGGCTTAAGGTAGGATTTAGGGGTCCTCTTCCAAAAGAGTGGAAGATTTTGGTTGAGGTTTGGTTTTGGATCGATGGAGAGCTGAAGGGGTGCCTCATCTGCGACATAGTCTGCTTACTACTTCAATCGTCATAGCCATACCCTGAAACCCAGCCCCAAAACCCAGAAATCTGCATTCGAAATCCTGAAACCATGAACGTAAAACCAGCAGCTGTCAAGATGTTGCTGGAGTCCTTACCTTTGGTCAGTAGGGAATGGAGGAATGGGGTACAATTATACCTAAACCCTAAACCTACTAACCAAAGGTAAGAGCCAGCACGTTCGGTGGATCCCCCAACAGCCACCGATCACGTACTCTTGCACTGAAGGATCCCAGCCTGGCCGTCCTCCCACATGTGCTGCCAGTTCCGGTGTTAGGTTTTGTCCCTGGTGTTGCTGGTTCTATTGCTAGTACCGCGCTTCTTTCTCTCGGCAGTGCTTCTCCGAGTGCATCTTGCCTATGAGGCAATTGCAACTGATAATCCGAGATTTTGGTCGTATTACACATGCATACACATGCTGCAGAGGCCTGTCAGGGTCCCTTCAAAATGCAAGGACTTCTCCAAACATCCGCCCGGGCGTCCTCGCAAAGCCAACAGGGTTGATGCCCCAAGGCATAGCTTGCGGCGGCTCGTCCAACTACAACCTGAACCCTGGATCCTAAACCCTCAATCATATCGCATAACCCTAAACCCTAGACCCTAAACCCTCAACCCCAAACTCCAAACCATAAACCCCTAAACCGTAACCCTAAACCCTACACCCTCAACCGCTCCGAACCTTCGACCCTGCCCCCCCCCCAAACCCTTAGCCCCTAAACCAGTAAACCCTAGAACCCTAAAGCCCCAAACCTAAATCCCTAAACCCTAAACCCCTAAACCCTAAACCCTAAACCCCTAAACCCTAAACCCCTAAACCCCTAAACCCTATCGATCCCTTAAAGGAACCCTGCCCCCCCCCCCCCCCCCCGCCTCCAAGGAAAGAAGTGAAGGATTCCCCAGCCTGGGAAGGCTTCCAACAATTTTGGGGTTTAGGGGTTTAGGGGTTTAGGGTTTAGGGGTTTAGGGTTTAGGGGTTAGGGGTTGCAGGCAGCAAGATAGCTCTAGCTATTCGGAGGGAAACGGGAGTGAACCAGCCTCGACGTGTGCGTGCCGGCAAAGCGGGCAGTTCCTTTTGTCTCTGGCACTCGATCCTCAAACAAGCTGCAACCACACACGTGCGTAGCTGCGACACAAGCTTTAAGCTTGCATCACCCCCACCCCGGGAATAGAAAACTCCTCTAAGAAATCAACATTTCCATCGAGATCGCTCTGCTGGAGTGGTGCCACTCCATCCTTCTTCCGCTTGCGGGATGACCGCATCTGTGCGTCTTCAACTATCCTCCATCGCTGCCCCATCTTGTAGAAGAGCTCGAGTTCGTGACTTCCCCCTTCTTTGGTTAATGAGTTGCTCAGCTGGGCCTCCGAGTGGACCCACCTGACCAAGAGCTTGGTGCGCTCCTGGGCCTCCTTGATCGCGAGGAGCTCAATATTGGACTTCTTTTCGGCCCCCTTTATCGTGAGGACGGCGGTGTTCAACTTGTCGTAGACGTTCCGTGAGTCGCTGATGACCACGCCCATAACCTGGGACACGGTTGCATCGGGGTCCCTGGGATCTGGAGGGCCATGTAGTAGTTCGCCCCATTGGTACCTGGCGTAGTAAGCTACGTCCTCACCGTTCACAGCTGCCTGTGTTTCAGCAGCACCTGGACTTCGGCACGACCTATCAATGCGGTTTGAATGCCATGCCACTGCGGACACAGCACCCACAGCTCCCTGAAGCATGTTCGTGGGTGCCAAACCCACAAAAAGTCCTTGGGTGCTGTAGCCATCCCTCCGGTTCTGACTCGCAGCATCCACCCAGGCGAAGATTCCTAACTCAGTTCCTTTAGGGAAGTGGTGTATCTTCATGACATGTCCCTTCTTAGATTTAGCTCGCTCGACTAGCTGATTCGTCTTGACGATCGTAGCAACACTGCTGCAATTGACCTGGGACAGTAACAGGCTCACTTCTGCTGAGAAGTGCGGCGCGACCTGTTGGGCGTGCCAGCTGAGTGCGCCTAACGTGGCTCTCAACTGGCTTTGTTCACGAGGTGTTGTGGGAGAGGTGCTCTCCTTTCGTCGGCTGGCGTTCAGGGGCACTTCGGGGATCCCTTCTACATATCGCTCCTGAGAAAGGTGAAAACCTTCTTTATCCTGAACCACCTGAACACCACACTGAGTGAAGCTCCCATGTTCCCAATCACCCCATTTAAACCGGTCCTTTATCCTCTGCAACTGCGCCTGCCAGCCTGCATCTTCCTCTGACCCTGAAAACAGAAAATCATCCACATGCCCACTGATGGCCCCTCTCAAGACCCCGTTGGGTCGCCATGTCCACAAGCAGGGGTCGGACCAGGAGCGGACCATCCCCAATTCGTTTTCAAGCACATCTGCTATGGTCTTGTACCACTCCAATGGTGCATCTACCAGGCCGTAACAGGCACGCTTCAAGCGCGTGATGGTGCCGGGACTCAGTCCCATGGCCTGGCAGATCTCTGGACACGGGATGCAGTATAACAAATCTGGGTACTCTCTCCCCTGTAGGAAGGCGCCGCTGACGTCGCCTTTGTACATGCGCCAGCCTTTCATCGTCGTGAGCTGCATGAGCATTTGGCGGGACTGTCGTGACATGACCGGTGACGTAGTAGCTCGGTGTTCATAGCTCGGGTCTTGATAGCCTAGTAATACTGCGCGAGCTTTGGCTTTGACAGAGCCATCCTCTTTTGTTTTCCACGTCAATATCCAGCGCATCTGTACCGCCTGCTCCTTGCTGGGGCGTAAATGCTCCGGCAAACTTTCGAATGCCTGAGCGGCGATGAAGTTCTTGACTTCGGTGGCCTTGGCTCCAGCAAAGGCTTCCCGATCTTCGGCTGTTAGATGCTTTTCTGAGACTTCAATAGCTCGTCTTTTCATCGCTCCCACAAAGAAGCTTGCTGGGTTAGACACCATAGCCTGCAGTCCTTTGGCTGATGTGGGCACGGGGATCTCCACTGCCACGGCGGCGGTCTCTTCACTCCAGAAAGCATTCTCGGCTGCAGGGAAATCTTCCTGCTCCACAGTTGCCCACCACGCCTCGGCTTGCAGTGTCACTGGGGGCGGTCGACCCCCCTGTCGGGCCCGTGGTTGGGCCCTCTGTCGGCTCGCTGAGGCCGGCTCATCGGGATCTTCCCAGACTTCTGGGTCCTGCTCCCCTTCAGGTTCCGCCCTTTTTCCACGAACTCGAAAGCGGGAAGGCTGCGCCGCCTCCTCAACATCCTGAGCTCTCTGCCACTCGGAAGTTCCAGGCTTCTCCCCAGAGATATCATGGTATTGGTTCCCTCCGATCTCCTCCACCACTCTCTGGAACGTCCACGGGGTTGCGTCTTCTCCGCGACCGTTGCTCAGAGCCTCTATTAGCTCTTCCCGTGGGGATGCCCTCCGGAGTTGCTCCGGACAGCACTTCAGTAGGGTCCTGCCTTTGACTATCCACACCGCTGATCCTGGCCGCAACTGGCCATCGGAAGATCGACGGGTTTCCGTTGCCAAAATGCGTGCTGGTCCCAGGAAGAAACCGTTGCGTCCTCCTGGCTCCCTCCTACTGCGACCACTGGCTTGACTTCTCCAGTAGTAGATCAACTCACCCGGCACATAATCATAGCTGGGCCTACTCCTAGAGTTGGTGGCTCGGCTAATCCGTTGTTGAGCCTGCCAATCGCAGAGGGCTTTCTCGGCGGTGGCCCGAAGCTTGGCAGACCTCTGAAAATCTTCCCCGGATCCTTCAATCAACAATTCCTCGGGCAACTCCTGAGGATGTTCAATAACCCTGCCTGTCACATCAGGATTCCTTCCAAAGGCATGCTGAATCGGAGTGAACCCTCTGATTTGTTCACGACTGTTGAATGTTCTCACCGCGAGGCTCAGGGCTTCTTCGGGGCTCAACTCAGGGTCGTCATCACACAACTTCGTCATCAGTTCCTTAGTACCTTTCACAGCCTGTTCACAGGTACCTAGCTGCCAATGTGCATCAGCCGGTATCATGTCCATGTATATGGAATGTCGGTCGCAGAAAGAGGACATGACTTCCCCTCGGAACGCTCCTGCGGGATCCAAACGCAGGGTGTCTGGTTTTCCGAAGATTTGCATCCACCCTTCTTGAAGGTAACCGGTGCATGTAGCTCCGGACGGCTGCTGCTTGGACCCTTGGGAAACAATTTTTGCTATCCGAAACCGGGACCCTTCATCAATCACCAACATGAATTGAACATGTTGGTTGCTTCTCGCATGAAACCAGTGTCCTATATCGGTGCTAATGGTATGCCACTTTGGGGGAAGGACCTCCAGGGACGCGAGGTTTCGGGGAGGAGGCCTACGTTTCTCGGCACACACCGAACACTGAAATTCTCGGGCCAGCTGAATCACCAGGGGGCTTGCATTTCTGCGCTTCAGGGCCTCTACTAGACCTTTGTTACTCCCGTGGCCCGTTGCCGCGTGAAGGAGGTACAGTTTCTTCTTGATGGTTTCAATCTCCTTCTTAGTCGGGCCTGTACTGGAACCTGCTTGGGAGGACTGGCTAGGGGCCTCACCTTGCATAAGAGCCTGCTGAGCAGAAGCTGGTGGTCTTCGGAATCCCAGCTTGTCTAACAAGCCCTGCTCGCACTTACCTAGTCGCTCCCATCCCCGGGCCACATACCCTGAAATCACCAAGCGATCTCCTTGCCATTTCTGGGTCTCATGCCACAGTTTGGGACTGAAGGTCACTACTTGTTGGTGAGTAGGAGCTATGTGGCCTTGAACCTGGGTTCCGTTGGGCAAGGTCCTACTGACTAACTTACTCGATTTCTCCTTGGGGTTCGGTCCCTCAATCCACAGCTGGCCTCCTGAATACGTGCCCAGTCCTATCACTTGATTGGGGTAACGGGCATCATTGTGGTTGTCCTTGTGCAAGGGTAACTGATTGTTCAAACTTACCACAACTGCCGTGCGATATCGAGTGGGAGAATCCCACCAGTCCAAATACCCATTAACAAACCGAAGCAACTGGGGAAATCGGTACGAGCGGCTGGTCACGCCGTACATGGCCCCGTGCGCGTAGGCACCGAAGGTCAGGTAGGTCGCGTGTTCCGCTCCCAGTAGTTTTCGGTGGCGGGCCACCGGTTGTAGCGGGAGTTTACGGAGGAGGCTTTGGCAGGTTTCATGCTGGAAATCGCGGCTTTCTAATCGGGTGAGGGCTTCTTGCTCCAGGTCCTGATAGGCTTCTTTAGTCATAAAGGCTTCCAGTTCTTCCACAGTCATGGCTCCGAAATTCTCGAAACCCCCTTCACCTGTGCGTTGGTTACCTAGAAGGCTGTCTGAAGACCTTTCCACCTGGGGTTCTGGTACCTGGGCTTCCTCACCTGAACCTGGCCTGGGGTCTACACTACCGCATCCCAAGCATCCGCCGCACTTTATGCCGTCATGGTGTTCTCCAAACACGCCGCACGTGCATCGAGAACCCTCTCCAAAGACCTCCGGTAGTTTCGTGCTTCCGCTGCTCTCTTCAAGAACCTGCTGGTGTGACAACTCCTGAAGAAAGACTCCACTCACCCGCTTCGCAAACTCATAGGTGTATCTCTCGCTACGTTGGGCCTCGGAGCCTCTACTTTGCCCATGCTTGTAGTCTTTACCGCACCTACATGGCATGTCCATCACCTCGGCCAGCCTCACACATGACGTCCACAGCTTCCAGCCCTTTCCTAGAAGCCTCTGATCACTGGAATCCCTGGCATTCACGCGACAGCCCTTTACTACCACCTCGTGCATTCCAAACTGTCGTTTGAGCCGTTGCATGAAAGGCAATCTCCACGCATCACTATGCTCAGGCAACTCCCATGTGACATGACTACCGCGCTGCAAACATGCCATGGTCACTACCACACATCCCTTGTAAATGCGAATGGCTTCCTGGCGCTTCTCTTTGAGGGCTTCCCTCTGTGAGGCACTGCTCTGATTATTGCGCTGCAACGGACTGAAAGCACCCCCTGGGGGGCTGATCCAGACATGGCGCGGTCTCTCGAGGGCCAGTCTTTTCAACACCAGCTTGACTCCCTCAGAAGTCGCGAGGTCGCATGCATTCCACTGACCGCACCTCGAGGCCGACGCCGGCTCTTGCGTCAGCGCCTGAACCGTCGAGGCAAGGAGACTGTCGGGATGGCATGCTACCTCCATGAGAACTGTACGGTTGGCCTGAACCAGGCCTTCGAAAAGCTGTGGCACTACCTCATAAGACGCTCGCTCCAGTCTGAGAGCCTTTCCAAGACTCAATTTCTGTGCCAGCCTCTGGGAAGCGCTCATCGGGGCTTTGCCCCCATCATCGGTGCTCAATTCCGATTCGGACTCTGCACCACGGAGAAACTCTGATCGCTCACATTGTCGGAGTCGCTCTCGATGCCCTTCTTCTTGCGAGCCGGCTCGTGCTTCAACTCGCTGAGCTCCTCCTGGAGCTGCATCATCATCGCCTGGAGCTTGTCGATCTTGTCGTTGGTCCCCTCGTCGCTCGCACTCCCCTGGGAGTACCCTTGGCTCCGACGACTGGTGCTCGGCTTCGTCTTGGATGACCTCGGAGGTGTCAGGGGCGTCGTTGAAGCTGAGCTGCTTGCGGCTCGTGCCATGGATCCTTGCACAGCCTTGGCAACATACTCCGGCTGGTTGCTGAGCCATCCCGCCAATCGCAAAAGCCTTGGGTCGGCTTCGCCTTCTTTGGCAGTTTGGATCACCCACTGGCAGTAGGTCGGCTGCAAGTCCTTCAGCTCGGAGTACATCAGGCTGGCGTGCTTGCCGAACCCCACCATGTCGGTCGGGTCTGGAACACTGCGGTGGTAGATCTCCAGCGTCGCGGCACGGGTCAGTTGCGGTATTGTCATGTTGTCTATCTGACCCATTCGGAGGGTGTCCTTGCAAAAAGCCTGGAGATTGGCTTTCTTCCTGGCCGCTGCGTTCATCTCCTGGATGAGGCGCCGGTACTCGCTGATCTCCTTGTTGGGGGCGCGCACGGTATAGTTCACGCCCGTGACCTCTTCGAGCCTCTGCTGCAGCTCGGCTTTCGTCCACTTGGTTGGTGGCCGCTCGCCTCGCTCGATCAACTGTGCACGGAGGGTCTCCTTGGTAGCTGCCATGACGCTCGCTTGGGTGGCTACCTTGTTCGGGACCGTGGCTTGAGAGCTGATCATCACGGCGAGCTTGGAATTGGCCATTCTCACTCTTCACAGATGTCTCGATGGAAATCGCACTATTCACATGCGAATTATCACTGCTACTCACACATATGCTTCTCTTCCCGGGATGTTCTACAAACTCAGGAACGGCAGATGAGATTAACCCTTCCCCGTTCTGAAACCCATTCCCTGTTCTATACACTCGGTCCTCCCCTTTCACATCAGGGTCTGCGTGGGGGAGGTGCTGTCCCTACTCCGTTTTGGAGTGTTGCAAAAACTCTCGTAGAGCCGGAACCGCCTGCTTGGTGGGCAATGACTGACTGTACAGGTCCTTAGTCAGGGGTAGTAGTTGATGACCTGTCGCGGACCTCTCAAGGGAGATGAGTCGCTTGTCGTCCAATCGTCGAAGGACCATGTAGTCGTCCGCAAAATCTATGATAGCTCCCAGTTGCCTGAGAGCGTCTATCGAGAGCAGTACTGGCCCGGTTCCGCGGTCCAGCGTGTGGATCTTGAAGCTTCCCGGTCTTCCATTGGCCTCGACGGCCAGCTTGATGGTGGAGAGGCATTTATCCTGGGATGAATTTCCGAACCCAAACACTGGGCGATCGGCCTGGTCCACTTCAATGACTCCAGTACTTCCATGGTCCTGGGCCCTTAGCTGCATCAGGCGCTCCACAGCGCTCACCGAGCCAAGGGTTTTGGTGGCCCCTGAGTCAATCACACACTTCCCCTGCTCTACGGCCTGGGCAGTGGTGACCTCGGTGGCGCACGCCATCTCGTCATTGATGAAGTCCTGGCCCTCCGCAAAGAAGATGAACGGCGCTTCCTCCTGCAGAACCGAGTGGGCGGCTTGCTCCTTGTCCGGGCAGTTTGCTGCCCTGTGGCCCAATCGCCCACACTTGAGGCAGGTCATCTTCTCATCCCGGGATCGGTCGGCCGTGGATCCTGTACTGCTGGGTGGACGTCCAGCCATGTTTCGGCTCGGTGCGTTCTTGTAGTACTGCCGTGATAGCTTGAGGTTGTGCTGTCGGCCTCTGGCTTCTCGAAGAGTGCGGCGGGCTCCGTTGAGGATTGCGAGGGCCTCCTGAATCTCCTGGTCCGCGTCATTCCAGAGAATCTGGCCCTCCTCGTTGAAGTACTCTTCCGCCGAGAAGCCCTGCGCATCATACTCCTCAAGCGTCTCGTCGTACTCCTCGGTCGCCTCGCCCCAGTAGCTCGCGTGCTTCCGCTGGCCGTCTCGCTTCTTCAACTCTGCCTCCGGAAAATGTGCTCGGAGTTCTTGGGAGATCCTCGCCACCGAGAAGTCTCCTCCGGCCGCTGTCTGCACGAGGTTGCGCTCTTGGTGGTCCAGGTTAGCATCCTGGAGAAGCATCCAACCTTGAACTACATCAGGAAGGAGTTCGGGAAGTTCCACGGGAGGGGGCGGCTGCCACTGCTGATTGTGGCTGCCCCAGTCCCACGATCCGTAGCCGGTGTACCAGCTCCATGCACTTTGGTACCAGTCCGAGGCTTCCCAGGAGTGGCCCTGCCACCCCGTTTGCCAGGTGTGGCGCTGATCATCCTGAGTATGATCTGTTGCTGTGGTCGTGGCTCCATCCTGGGAGTTTGCTCCGGCTTCATCTGGGGCCGACTCCACAGAAGTTCGGCGGCTCCAGTTTCCCATGTACTCGGGGTAGTTCCGGTAGCTGCGGACCTCGGGCTTCGCTGGTAGAAGACGGACCATAGCCTGCTGGGCTCTCATGTAGCACTCGCTCTTCTTGGTCAGGTACTCGTTGATGCTCTCCCCCGAGCGTCGGCGAGTGCCCTTGAAAAGGCGACCAAGGTGGTCGCTCAACTCGGACAGGCGTGGTTTGCCCAAGCCCTGGCGCAGGTGTTCCAAGAGGCGCTCAGTGCCTCCCGCATAGCTAAGCCAGTTCGGTGCCTGTCCCACAATCATCCGCTTGGCTGGGCCCGTGAGCTCGGCTGCGAGCTTCGGCCCTGTCATCGCCCTCTTGTACGGCTCCTGCGACTGCTCGTAGAGCCTGGCTGCCTCGGCATACTCGACGTACGAGCCGGGGTTGCCATCCCATATCGGCGTTCCCTCTTTTGTGCGATTGATTGCACTATCGCTGCCTGACATCTCTCCACGGCTTCGCGGTGGAGAGCCTTCGTCTCAAAACTTCTTGCCCTGGATCTTATGAACCCCCTCTCACGTCACTGAGGGGGCTCCGCTACCATGCAGGCAGCAAGATAGCTCTAGCTATTCGGAGGGAAACGGGAGTGAACCAGCCTCGACGTGTGCGTGCCGGCAAAGCGGGCAGTTCCTTTTGTCTCTGGCACTCGATCCTCAAACAAGCTGCAACCACACACGTGCGTAGCTGCGACACAAGCTTTAAGCTTGCAGGGGTTTAGGGGTTTAGGGGTTTAGGGTTTAGGGGTTTAGGTTTAGGGTTTAGGGGTTTAGGGGTTTAGGGGTTTAGGGTTTTAGGGGTTTAGGGGTTTAGGGGTTTAGGGGTTTAGGGGTTTAGGGGTTTAGGGGTTAGGGTTTAGGGGTTTAGGGGTTTAGGGGTTAAGGGGTTTAGGGGTTTAGGGTTTAGGGTTTAGGGTTTAGGGGTTTAGGGGTTTAGGGGTTTAGGGTTGAGGGTTTAGGGTCTAGGGTTTAGGGTTTCGGGTTTAGGGGTTTAGGGTTTAGGGTTTAGGGTTTAGGGTTTAGGGGTTACTTTAGGGCTTACCCTCAGGGATGTATAAGGGCTCCTTTAAGGGATCTATAGGGGTTCCTTAGGGCTTACTCTAAGGGTCCGATTGAGGGATCTTTTTACGGGTTCCTTAAGGATACCCTCAGGGTCCAGATACCTGGTAATCATAGACTCTCCCAAATGTAGAGCTACCATCCTAAAACCAAGTACCTTATGATTGGGTCCTTGGGGCCCTTAGGGCTTACGGTCTAAGGATTTGTGTTTAGCCCCTTTGTTTCCCAGAGGCTGCAGTCTGCGACTTCTAAGAAGGCCGGAGGATAAGAGTTTAGGGATTAGGGGGTTACCTGTTTCCCCAAACCCTACAAAACAGTAGGTCATGACCCCTTAATTAGAGGATCTAACCCTTAAAACGGTAGGTTTTTGGATCCACAGGTAGGGCTGATTCGGGTTTGGGTTTTAGGGTGTGGGGTTAAGGGAGTAGGGAATAGGTTCAGGGTTTCGGGTTTAGGCTTGTTGGGAGCTTCTTTACAGGGGAATATGGGGAGCTAGAAGATTCAGGGTTTCTCTCTTCTTCTTCGAACTCATTGGGTCCATAGGCTTTATTTTTTTTATGGGGTTTATGGGTTTTCTGGAGGAAACCCTAAACCCTAAATCCTTAAACCCCTAGACCCCAAACCCTAAACCCTAAACCCCAAACCCTAAACCCCAAACCCTGAACCCCTAAACCCCTAAACCCTAGATCCTAAACCCCTAAACCCTAAACCCCTAAACCCTAAATCCTAAAACCCTAAACCCTAAACCCTGAATACTAAACCCTAAACCCTACATCCTGAACCCTAAATCCTAAACACTAAAGATGATCTGGCTCGAGGCCGTCAGGGCCCTGTTGTACAAAGGAGTTTAGGTTTTCAGGACTCGGGGGTCGAAGTCCATACCTTACCCTAAGGCTCTAAGGACTCATATTTTGAGGCTTTTGGGCCTGAAGACCATATTATACAAGGCTTTTGGGCCATTTTGAGCCTTAGGGTTAGGTTTAGGGTTCAGGGCAAGGTTTAAGGTTCAGGGCAAGGTTTAGGGTTTAGGGTAAGGTTTAGGCTTTATGGCAAGGTTTAGGGTTTAGGGTAAGGTTTAGGGTTTAGGGCAAGGTTTAGGGTTTAGGGTAAGGTTTAGGGTACTGCCCTCATACAGTAAGAGTCTATAATAGGCCTACTATTAAGGTCCCAATTTATCTACATTATGAGTATTCTTCAACTATTACTGAGTGGGGGCCGTACTCAATCCAGTAGCCAAGGATGGAACAAGTTTAGACTTTCTTTCGTGATGGCTCCTCTGAGGTCCAGCTAAAGTATTCAAGTATGGTATCCCAAGCCCAGGTATACGATTTCGGACGAATTTGGAGTCTCGGGTTTAGGGGTTACATTGCGTTTAACGGCCCTCTTGGCTCTACTTGAAGATCCCCGTCAAAAAGCCTCGTAAAACCCTCATCGAGCCCCCGTAAAAGGAACCCCTATACACTTATGATATGCAATATATGTATATACTATATAATGTTAAACTATATAATATTATATTTTACTATATTATATACCGTAGCGGCCCCTTAAAAAGGGCTCGATTATGGAACCCTTGGAGGACCCTTTGCTTTCGGAGGCGCTCGACCGAGCTGGCAGCGATGTCGGCGGCCATTGTGTTGCTGGCGTCTCCCTTGGGCGCACTGCCTCGTCGGCTAGGGGTTTAGGGTTTAGGGTGTCGCTTTAAGGAGAGTTATAAGTGGGGTCAGAACAGAGGGTAACTACTGTTATAACCCATATTAAGGGACTTATAACTCCATTTATAACTACCCATGAAACTCCAAGTAGGGGTTTCAGGGTGTCGGTTTAGGGTTTCGGGCCTAGAGTTTAGGAAAGTTTAGGGTTTAGCGGAGTAGGGGTTGAGCGCTTCGGGTTGAAGCTTTAGGCTTTAGAAGAGTCTAGGGTTTAGGTTTTAGAGCGTAGGGTTCAGGATAAGGCTTTCGTGTTGAACCTTCCTTTGAGGTAGCTATAATTTGTAAAGGTTCACTTGAAGGCTCCCTTCAGGGGCTGCATTAAACCCTCCAGTCCAAGACTTGACATGTATAAACCACATAAACTAGTCAAGCCCTAAGCCCTAAGCCCTAGACACTTGAAGCGGCTGTGCCAAAGGTATCGCAGCGCACTTCTGAGCGCTATCATTTCATAGCTTCTTTCGCGGCAAAGACGACCTTTGGGGAGACAATCCTCCAGCAAATTGTCGGCATACACCCCAAGGATCCAAGTACCCAATAATTAATCATATATTCTCCAAAATCCTAACCTACATAATTACTATCCTAAAACCGAGTACCTA